TTCCTCTTTCTGGCGCAAAGTGGGTGATAAACAAACAAGAGAGATGATCAGCTGATCATTGATCAGTTTCATGATTGAAGTAGAAACAGGAGATGGAGGGGAGAGAATGACAGAAGAAGAGGCAGCTGTGCAGCAAAGACACAGAATAACTCCAGCTTTGTGTCTTTTTTCATTCTACCTGAAGTACGGGACAAATCACGTTCCTTTTCCCCTCAATACAAAACGTGCAATATTTTCTCTGAATACCAGACGATTACGTTTTTTACGGGACAGTTGGAAACTCTAATAACTAACCTTATAAATAAAATAAGATAAAACAAGTTCAACGTCAATAATATCATAGCACCCACCCAGCAGTATATAAACTCCCATGCTAGCTAGTACGCAGTACGAGTTATTGTAACTGACTGTAAAAAGTCAGCATAACGAAAATAAACTCCACCTAAACTTGGTTTATATCTGACCCAGATAGACTGCAGGTCATAACTTCTTACCTGAAGTTCAGTTCACCGCCTGGGGTCTCTGCTCCTCCTGCCTTTCCGTCATCCACCTGCCAGCGTGTTGCATCTGCTGGCCTCCACCACTTGCTAATGTTACTAAATCGGTGGAATCTCCGCAATAGCCACCACCAAACAACTGAGTTATTTTTACACATCTCCCAGCATCTGGCCAATCCACCACCTTTCAGTGTTTATACTGTTACGAAAAAAAAGAACCCATCGGCCCATAAAAACGAAAAATCACCATGGCCCACCGGGCAAATGCCCGATGGCCAGTCCAGCTATGTATTTAGGTGATTACCGTGTAACGTTAGGGTCACATATCCTGAACATATACAGAGAGTTTACTGTGTGGATCCGTTTTAAAGAGGAAATAACTAGTATCACCTTCTAACGCAGCGATGTTCCGTTATGAAACAGACTCGAAGTAACGGAGGAAGTCTGACTTCAAACTAGTGATGTGACGTTCTGTATCGAGGCTTCGGAGCGTGTGTCGAGTAATGGAGGGGGCGTTTCCGCGAAGCGCGTATCAAGGCTTGCTTCATTTATGGGAGGAGCTGAAAATGATGACGTCCGAAGCCTCGCTGCCCGGCTGTACCACGTGACTGGTTCATGAAGTGGTTCGAACTTTGCTGCGAGCTATGACAGCGATATAAACCCCTCAGACTTCATTCAAAATGTGGGTGTTTGATGGAGAGTTGCGGTTAGAGAGAGTTTGGAGACCGTTTGGAGGTTTATGAGAGTGAGGAGAGAAAGTCAGGAGAGAATGGAGCCAGCTAAGAAGAGGAGGATGTCCTCCCCTGTGTGGGAACATTTTGATTTTATTCCTCCCAACAAGGTATGTAAATTTCTACAGAAGATGTATTTCCATAATACTGATGCTGCAATACAATTTATGTTGAGCTGTCTTGACTTTTGTACAAGGTGAAGTGTTTGCTATGCGCCAGGGAGCTGGGATATAACAACAACACCTCATCCATGCTTAGGCACTACAGAGCTTTGCATGAGAATAAGGGGAACACCGATTGTGGAGCAAGACCAGGTGAGCCATCAAATGCAATGATAATATAGCATGCTGTAATGTTACTAAATGATATAACAATATTATACAACTGTTATAAGTTACGTGTGTGATATTTATATTTGTGCTTTATCTTTATTGTCTTTCCTCAGGAGAACAATCTCAAATAGATGAAGACCTGGTCAGCATGGTGATTGAGGACTCCCAGCCATTTAGCATTGTGGAGGACAAAGGATTCAAAAGATTTGTTAAATCATTAAATCCCAGCTATGTTCTCCCCACTAAAAAGGTCATAAAAGCAGTGAAAATTTAGTTTTTACAGAATAAAATGTGAACAGGCAGGATTGAGGCTCAAAGCCTCAGTGTGTAGCTGTCCATACCTCAACGTTACAAAAGCACAACTACTGTCCACACCCCAACCACACCTCACCTCACAGTAAATGATCATTTCCATTTCAAGCATTTCCAAATAATCATTTCCCATACTGCCACTATAAATATACACAGTATACTGCCATCACTACACTATAGGTGTTTTACACACTCCTTTTGTTGTTGACATTTACAGGCTGTGTGCAAAATGCCACACTCTTCAAATTCATGCCAGCTATTATTTTTTACGTCCAGTAGGTGTCCTGCTAGAGCAAATGAAGCTTCATGAAGCTTCGCGTTGGGGTGAACCAATTGGATGAAAAGCTTCAGTGCTTCATGGGGCTTCATCTGCCCATCACTACTTCAAACCATCTTTTAAAAAAAAAAAGTCGTAACATACCTGATCAGCAAAGCAGAGCCTCCCAGCTGAAATAGCTTTAAGCAGACCATTCCTCTCTGAACCTGTGGAGCTTTCACAACAAATAACCTGAATTCAGCTTGATGAACAGTCTCTCAGGTCGCTCGATCTGCTGTTTATAAAAGAAACGCTTCCTGTGGCTCTGTTTGTAGGTTCTGCTGGTGTCCACAAGATGTCGAGCTCGGAGCAGCAGAAAGATGACACGAAACACTTCTGTGGATTTTTTTACAATATTTTTACTGAGAAAGAGAAATTATTAAAAACAAACAAACATGCAAATCACATGTAAATGGTTTGGATACAAATAGATAATCTATAACAAGCTGGCAGCAGAGATTGTAAAGAAATATAGCAAAATATTTATATAAAATATTTTAAGTGGTTAAAAAGGACTGGATTGGTTTTACTGTAGAACACAGTATGTACAGCAACGCAGTCATAAAGATCCTAACATAATAGGTCATTTCTTTATTTGATATATAAATACATTTTAAAGCTTGTTGACTGCAGACTATTTATCAATATAAGCAAAGAGATAAGATATCAAGATGTAGAGAAACCATCACACTAGCCGGTGTTGTGCCAAAAAGTGATTTCCAATGTTTTTTGATTATTTTTTTAATTTATTTTGTCATGAATTTGCTTATATTGTTAAACAGACAGCAGCCAACAGGATTTAAGAAAAGGTTATATATATAAATGAGCTGTTTTAGAAACATCGTTATGATGTTTTATTTGTCACAATATTGTGACTCTTGTGCACATCAGTCTTTAAAACAAAGATTTTCAGCTGGATAAATAAAGGATATAAAAAAGTCACTTTCACAGATTATAGAGCAACACGTCATTTACAGAAGTTTAAATATGGAAATCGCTTTTTTGCACACACACACACACACTCTGCACAGACAGAAACTGAAGGAGATTTGTGATGAAATAGTTAAACGAATAAAGACTCAAACACTTTGTGGAAGCATAAAAACTAATGCAAGAAAAACAACATCCATTATTTACAGGTGACCTACTCATGCCCAATTCTCATAAAGAATTAGATTTTCCAACTGCTTTTTTATGCTTCCTGTGTAATTATCTCATAGACAGCAGGACAAAAACATGCAGGTTCACTATAGTCAGACCATCATGGCAGCTTCTAGCTTTTTCTGACAGTGTGACAAGAATCTCCAGAAACCTTTGCTGTTATCACAAACACAGCCGTCTTCTCTGTGTGTGTTTTATTCTGTAAGTAAGTCTGTTGTGCATTGCATTGAATTACCAGTAAATGAAACAGCCTCATGTTTCCTAACAGAACAGGGAGAAATCAGTATTATTAGGTCTGGAGTCATTACAGTTAACAGCCTGCTGGTTGCAATCATCTCAGTGCTTTTCTGTCCCTGTTTCTATGGAGATGTGTTAATCAGTGATAGTCTGGCACAACAAGTAACCTTGTGCCCAATTATGCAACTCTTTTCTTGTTTCACAGAGGATCATTATCAAGATATGACGACAGCAAAAGTTTTGATAAAGTGTCACTGTGGAGGTGGGTGTCCATACAGCTGTGTCAGGGTTGGGTTAGCTGAGCTGTGATGTCACACGTGACTGTTTTTAGTGGTGGAGGTACGTTGCACATAAGGTATAGATCACAAAGAGAATGTAGGATGTCTGAATACATATACTGTATCGCACTCAGTATTTCCTGCATGGCACAATCATTGAGACACAATCACATCAATTACAGACATCTGGCCTCTTATTTATTCCCTGAGTCCACATGCAGCTGTACATTGATGTGAAAGAAAAAATATTTATTTTAAGCAGACAAAACTTGAATTGAATTATAAACGAGGTCCATTAACGAGTAAATTTTCATTAAAGTGTAACAAAGAGAAGAGAGAAAATTATAAACTAAAACTGATAGATATGTTTATGATATTTTCTTCCAGTTATCTCAACGTACCAAACATGGTTTTATCCTGACTGTTTACTCATTACATCTTTACTCTCATTGGTGATTACAGAGTCTCTCTGCTCTGTCCTGACTGAAACATGCAGACCAGAATAAATACAGTTATCACAAAAGTACAAAAAATAAATATGGCCAACTTCCTGCATTGATAAAACAGTTGTAGTCTTTGTTTTGTCTTAATAAGAAAATAACTGAATAATCATCATTACACAAGCATCAGATGTAAAACTGGAAAAATTAAAGGAGTGAGACACAGCTGGGAAACAAACAAGACAACGAGGCACGGAAACAAATGTAAATACAAGGCAAAGAGACTATCAAAATAAAACAGGAAGTAACTACACAGAGGATCACGTACCCAAGATGAAAACACGACGAAATGATACAAAAGGACACAGGTGAGGCTGTACTGAACCGAACCACAAATCAGTAAAAATAAAGATATATTCAAAATGTAAACAGAACACGCTGGCTGCTCTTTGTCTCCATATAAACTGTCCTCTTAATCATCAAAGATAAAAAGAAAAAATCTGACCTAACATCAAAGCTCATTTGATCTAATGTTGGTGTGTCCTTCACTGCTGACTCCATGAACAGTATCACACTCCACCCAATATTTTCACAAGCAGAGTAAAAACTACGATTCTCTGACGATGACAACTGCTTCAGATCTGCTTTGTGCACAATGTTGTTGGACTTCCTTAGTCCAACACCCCAAACAGTCAGAAAAGTCTTGATATTTACAAAACTGTGGTCACCTCACTTCATGTGGAACATACACAGTTCAGTTTATTCTGGGAGCTGTAGCAGAAAGAAAGCAGCATGAAGCTTCTTAGCTGCTCTTTACTCATGTTGGATTTCAGGGAGCTCCTCAGTCTTTTACACACATTGGTACTTATTTTTACCTCCAATACACTCAGCCCAGGAGTATGCATGAAATAGAGTGACTGCACACCATCTACGTATTCACTGGAAAACTAGCTTCTCTGTTCTCACATAGAGAGCTGTGTACAGTCTGTGTGAAAGCAGATATTTAATGTCTGAGGGTTGATAATTTCTTCACCAGGTCGTTCCTACATATCATCTTTAAGATGTTCTCCATCACCTGCACAGCTCCAGTGATCTCATATGTCTGCACCATCAGATCTACTGTGTCATTTCTGTCTGCTTTGGACAAATAGTTTTCTTTGATGGGTGATATGTTGTTCCACACTTCAGTCTTCAGGTGCCACTTAAACTTCTTGAATTCTTCATCGTTTAAATCTTCGAGGATATCGGGAAGCATCACCATGATTTTCTGTTAAAATCAGAGCATACTGTCAGTCTGTAGATGAGGCTTTGCAGGTCATAATGAAAGGAAGTTGAAACCATAATGGTGTACACAGTGAATAGAAGATAGCCTTACAGAGAGCAGAGATAAGAAGTATAGTTCTTTAGTTCCTCACTTGATCCATATCCTTATTGATAACAGCACACTCATTGAGTCTATACAGAAGTTAGCTAGAACAGATTCAGACACTGACAATAAACTTTGTCCAAACTGAGATCAGCCTCACCTCTGCTGGGATTCTCCCATCTGCAGAGAAAGGTAGATGATCTGCAAGGAGCCAGGGATAAGAATTATAACACGCAAGCATTTAAAAGAATTGACGAATCTTGAAATTAAACGCAATGTTTTTGTATTGCAAGTCCAAAATATTTACTGTAAATCACATGTCCTGTGTTTTTTTTTGAAAAAGGGTAAGTGACACATTTGGGAAAAATAAAATAAAAATCTCCTACAAACAGCTTGTATTAAAAACCTCTATGGACATGAATGTGGCCAGAGGCAGCAGGTGAATGGCCTCCTGAAAATGTCTGACAGCCCTTGAGTCAAACAAAAAGAAGTTTCTATTAAAGGCATTTTAATGTTCCATGTTAACCCACTCAGATGTTTGGACAAGGTGCTGCCAGTCCTGCCATAGAACTGCTAAGTCTTGCTTTCCAATCTGAGGAACACTTAACTTCATGGCTTGTCTCTATTTTTTCTAATTTGTGCCTCCTTGTCTCCTCCTGCCTGTGAATCTCAGTTCATCATGCTCAAGGATGTCTAACTTCCTAAACTGCACCTGGACAAGAGAAGAGACTTGAAGGATGAACACATCTAATTGATCCTTTTACCTGTGGATATAGCCTAAAACTACAGCATAACTTTTGCCTTGTGTGTTGAGATTCGTGATCAGCAAAAGTGTGTTTAAACATTACTTGCAGACTTCCACATCTCTGGAATCAGCTTGTCAGGAAAACTCAGATTCGGCTCAGTGCTTCAATATGTTCACCACCTTCTCACTAACTGCTCTGCAGTTTTAATCATACATTTTTTTATGTGTTTGACCAAAAATGGTTTAATAGATAGTCACCCTGTTAAATTACAGCTGGCAGTTTTTCTTCTTCTTCTACATTGTATTGTTCTTTTTTTTCCCCCAGTGTTGATATTATATATTGTTTTGTTTGTAGGTTAATTGCAGGAATTTCTTAAAGATAGAAATACCTGTAGAGAGTGGTCTCCTCTCTACAGGAGCTCACTCTGCAGGTGGGGGAGAGATATAGGAGAGGTAGAGAATGAACTCAACCTGGGTGTCTATTGTCTTGTGTAGATTGGGAGATGATTGGATGATGGGGTGGGTGCAGTTTTCTCTGGGGTGGAGTCGGGTGGGCTGCCCTGGACTGTGTGGGGCTGGGCGGTGCTGCTGCTGCGGGCCCCGGTCCGGATGGGCCTTCCCTTTCTTCCCTCCCCATCCTCAGCTGCCTCCCTATTCCCGCTCTACCACACCCACCCACACACGCAGGACTTGGGGTGCAGGTATCTCACCAGGGTGCAGGGGAGGCACTCCCCCTCTGTCCCCTTCTGGCCGCCTGTGCCTCAATTTTATTCTGCAACCTAGACATCCACATTACTCACTCTCTCACATAACACATACATATAGGGCCTTGGGGGTGGGCACGTTTTACAGCATCCAGAGGATGGTCGGTGTACTCCAACCCACCTCTGGCGCTGGTGCCCTACCCTCAATTTTAAATGCATTTAGACACTAAGGGTTTTCGGGAGGAGCCGTGCTGCTCTATGAGAGGAAGCAGGAACCATGTTCTCCTGTGTTTTAAATGCACTTTAGAACAGCACACAGCAACACTACTAGGGCTGGGTTTTTATAATCGATTCATCGATTAAAATCGATTCTGGCTTGGATAACGTGAAATCGATTCATTAAAATCCTGAATCGATTTTTTTAATATAAATTTATTTTGCCCGAAATGCCAGAATCTCTGGTGACATCTCACAAAATTTCAAGAACCACCAAACAGTTAAGACAGTAAATGAGAGCAGGAACACGGATTCTGCACATAGACTTAAACACACAGCGCGACCCGCGGATCAGAATCAGTGAGATGTCGCCTTTCTCACGGTCGGGGCTGAAAGCCGACAGCTCGCTGATCCTGATGTTTCGGCGGGTCGGCGCTTTGTGTTCACGCCCTTTATGCGCTGATTCTAAAGCTGTTAGTTTGATCTCTCTCCAAACACTATTGACTGAACCAGCAGCAAAAGAAGATCCAAACGCTTCACATAAACATCGTCATGAATTCACTCTGACTTTTACTGTTTTGCTTCCACCGCGATGCACAGCTCTCTCTCTCTCTCTCCCTCTCTCTCCCTCTCTCTCTCTCTCTGTACTTCAAGAACAGTTTCCCTTTCTTCATTATTCGCTTGCTTGTTACGCACCAGTCTACTGTTGTTTACAGGCTGTCGGCCGCTGTTTTTTTCCCTTTTACATTCTTCCGAAAAGAAAACCTAATTTCTGCCGTTCAATACTGAACAAATTTAAACTTTCTAAAATTATGGAAAATGCAAAACGTTGTGTCTCTAATAAAACCGCTGCAACTCAGAGGTAACGTTCATGTGTTGATTCAAGGTTTTCTTTCGTTTTTGATGTGCTGCAGAATATTTGTATAAAATCCAGGCCAGGAAAAATCACCTTCATGTTTTTCTGTTTTATCTTCAGCTACTTTGACACAAAGGCCTCTGCTGTGACGCTCACACCTGTGATAAAGTCTTGTGTCAGCTTCCTTTTTATTGATAAAAAATATGTAAATATACTGATCTGAATTATAATATTTCTGACTGTCAGAATTTCCCAGATTTAAATCGAATCGAATCGAATTAAATCGAATCGTGGATCGAATCGATTCGGGACCTTGTGAATCGGAATTGAATCGATTCTAGAAATCAGTGACGATACCCGGCCCTAAACACTACATATGAGCGGGCGTAGGGAGGTTTGGGGTCTTCACTCACCCCGGTTCTGTTAGCCGTCAGGGCCGGGGGGCTGGGAGGAGGTGCTGGCCGTCAGATTGGGGTCTGGGATGCGGGGCCTCCCTGCTGCAGATAAGGAAGTGGTCCGCTTGCCTCCACCCCAGAGAGAAGGGTTACATCTCCTGGGTTTAGGTGTGGCTTGCCCCTCTGGGGCGGGGGTACCTGGACCTGGGATGTAGAGTACGTTTGGGGAGTGCGACTGTCTGTGCAGTGTCTATTTGTGTCTGTCTACACGTTGGGTGAATGACGAGTATTTGGTTGTGTATATGGGGTGGGAATGCACGTTTGTGTCCGCGTGTGCCTGTTCGTCTGTGTCTATATGTCAGGTTGGGTCTTAGACTCAACCTCTCTGGGTACATCTCAGGCCCTCCAAAGTACGGAGGCCTATCTCCCCTCACCACACTCCCTGCCGGTGGCTGATGCCCTCAGACGTTGGTGTGTTGGTGGTTCTTGTCGACTGGGGCTGGGCGCTCATCAATAGCGTGTGCAGCGGGGTGGCCACCCCCCCAACCAGACTGGCCACCCCAGGTGCCACCCCAAAGGTAAAACAATAAAATTCAATCAAATGTACGATTATGTTTTCACGGTGAAGCTCAGATATCCGAGTGTAAGTGAATGCAGCATCGGCTTCTGCGCTATGTGCATCACGTTAGCAAAGGTAGGAGAGCCAAGCACGAAAGACGCACTGCAGGAAACAATTTTTCGGTGAAAGAAAATGAGGACAGAATAAATGTCCCGGTAAGTAATATTAAGTTTGTTGAGTTTAGTAAACTTCGGTGAAATTAGAATACCAAAGAGAAAATAACACTTAAAGAATTATTGCAGCCATCGAATATTTCAGACAGTATGCTACTGAGGGGAGCTAACATAAGAGTTATAAGATGTAATCTAAGTCGTAACATTGCTGTATGGAGCTGCAGATTTGGTTGCAGGTTAACATAGCTGGACTGGCCATCGGGCATACCGGGCATATGCCTGGTGACTTATTTTTTTTTATTTTTTTTGTAATGGCATGAACAATGACAGGTGGTGGATTGGCCAGATGCTGGCAGATGTGTAAAAATAACTCAGTTGTTTGGTGGTTGCTATGGCGGAGCTTCCACAGAGGCCAGCAGGTGGATGAGGGAAGGGGAGGCAGGACAAACGCAGTTTGTCCTGAACTTTAGCTAGAATGGAAAAAAGACACAAAGCTGGAGTTATTCTGTGTCTTTGCTGCACAGCTGCCTCTTCTTCTCTCATTCTCTCCTCTCCTGTTTCTACTTCAATCATGAAACTGATCAATGATCAGCTGATCGGCTTTTCTCTCTTGTTTGTTTATCGCCCACTTTGCGCCAGAAAGAGGAAACCAGCAGATGTCGCGCTAAACAACAGCAGCACGTTTAAGCTGTTGTTAGAATTTATTTAATATTAATTTCTAGTATCAGCTGATGTTTGCTGGAGCCACAGCTGTAAAGCTGCTGGTCATGATGTCAGTTTGGATATGTGGTGAGAGAGAAACATGAAGATGAAACCAGGAGATGTCCTTACTGAATCATCAGAGCTGAACAGGTGATGGAGAAACAGGTTTACCTTTTAGGTGAAATGAATGAGTTGAAGGGAAGTTATGAACTGTTTCTGAGAGACAAATAACACCAGGATCCTTTTCTATGCAGCTGACAGCTGGTAACTGTGCAGGGGTGGGTCTAGCGAAGTTTTTGCCAGGGGGCCAGGTAGGGTATTAACAGGGAAAGGGGGCACAAAGAAATACTTTTCTTTCTTATTCTCATTTAAAATACCTAGTTTTTATTAAATAATTATCTAAATCTTACAACCAAAGTTTTTATCTGACGTAAAATGTATAGAAATCATACATATACCAACAAGACTGTACATCACTGTCACAACAGCATTTGTTTTCATTCAAAGTCTTTATGGCTTTAATACCTGGTGGGCCGGTCTGTAGTCAAAATGCCAGATTTTCTGTCCCAGTCCAGCCCTGCAGGTTAATACTGGCAGTGTCACCATGCCAGCTTACTGGATTTCATCATCAGCCAGTGTTGTTCTTTATCAATATTACCAAAGTTTACAAAAGGCAACAGAGAAAGTATTTACTTGCTTTCAGGTTTCATTCAAATGTTAGTCTTTTCAGTTGTTTCCCCACTTTTTTCCTGTTTCAAAATCAAACACCAGTTTGTGAGAAGATTATCTTCTTTTTTTTTAATAGGCATAAGTTTTACATTGGAACTGGCTAATTTGTCAATTGTTTGTTACAAATGTTCGTATTTTAATATTAAAAAATGTTTTTGCCCAAAACATATGTGCACTATGTGTCAGTAAAAATACTATGCAAATATTGCTGTCCTTGAATGCTGAGTAAACACTGACCAAGCACTGATTGTATCTCTTGTACTTTATCAACGCAGTATCTAAAAACTTTGCACCGTAGAGGTTAAAATCTCCTTCTAATAAGAGTTAAAAGCGCATTCGGTTATTAGGTTTATAGGGTTATTGAATTATGGTTAATGGTTGGTAGAATTTTTTTTTAAACATTATCTGCCAATTACATCTGCCACCCTTCTCCAAATCTGTGCCCCTACCTGGCCCCCCCAACAAAAATTTTCTAGACACGCCACTGGCGCTCATGTATGTACTGGCTCACTCCTGGTGGCCGATTGGCGGGCCTGGCGCCTGTGGCCCGTCTGGGCTCCTTCCGGGGGGTGGGATGCCCTCAGGCCTCTGGCCTCTGGGCCTGAAGCTCGGTCCTCTCTGGCACAGCTGGCTGCCGGCAGAGCCCACGGGCACGCCACTGCAACCCCCTCTGACTTCTGCTCCGTAGCTGCTGGGTGACCTCTCGTTTGGGGCTCTACTCAGCTCTTCCCAGGAGGGTGGCACGGTTCCCCCCCTTTTGGTGGTCCTCCTCGGGTCCGTGTACTCTGGGGCCTCTGGATATCTGGGGCCTGGATCTCCTCCATACCTGCTTCATGCCCTGGGGGACGGGGCTATGGCTCCCCACACTCCCTAGCAGATCGTTACATGGAGAAACCTTTGGAATACAAGCATGCTGATCCACACAGGTGTGCACACAGGTGTACACACGGGTGTTCACAGACGCGGACTACACCTTTCTTGGCTGCTGCCTCAAAGCACATTGTGCGCTGTCTATCTTGCGTGCTGCACAATATTGTTTAATATTTAGTATCTACTGTTATCTACTGCTAGCTAGTTTATTGTGATGGTGCCGTTTTTATTATGTTGCTCTTTGTTGTTTGCTTTCTCTTCTGTTTTTTTTTCTCCATACAGGTGATCCAGGTGTTTTGTTTGTTTTTCTTTCTTCCCCCCTTTCTCACCGTCTCTTCTCCCCTCTGTTTTTCTTTCTCTCCCTCTCTTTCTTTCATTCTTTCTCCCTGTCCTATCCCCCAGTCATGTCTGTCCCGTTTGTAGCAACCGAAAATAAAATAAATACATAATTATAATAAAGGTCAATCAAATGGACCAATATGGCAAGGCCATGATGATCCACTTGGTAAAATAAATCCGCTTGGCATCTTTCTTGCCCTTAAGACAACAATTCTGATGGCTAAAGATCCAAACGGGACACAAAAAAAAATAAAAATAGAAATACCTGGATGACTTCTAGTTTTTGGGTTCTAAATTCAGATGAAACTGAGGTTATTGTACTCGGCCCTAAAAATCTAAGAAATATGGTGTCTAACCAGATTCTTACTCTGGGTAGCATTACCTTGACCACCAGTAACACTGTGGGGAACTTGGAGGTGTTTTTTGACCAATATATGCTCTCCAATGTACATATTAAACAAATATGTGGGAATGCTTTCTTCCATCTAATATCTCTAAAATGAGAAATATCCTGTCTCAGAGAAACACTGAAAAACTAGTTTATGCATTTATTACTTGCATTTATTAGGCTGGAGAAACTGATCAGGAGGGCTAGCTCTGTGGTCGGCATGAAGCTGGACACTCTGGTGACAGTGGCAGAGAAAAGGACATTAAAGAAACTGATGGACATTATGGACAATGCTGGGCATCCTCTGCACACGGCCATAAACAACCAGAAGAGTCTGTTCAGTGACAGGTTGCTTCTCCCCAAGACAAGAACTAACAGACTTAAAAACTCCTTTGTCCCACACGCCATCAGACTGTTTAACTCCTCTCTGGAGGGGAGAGGGAGGGGAAACAGGAGGACAAAGGAGGGGGGAACAACTAAGCTGTAGTGCCTCTTCACCTCACTGTACAATACCTTGTGCAATACTTTTTGTAAATAGTCAACAGTGCAATAGACTCAGTACTTGAAATGTGCAATTCACTTGTATTTTTATTTTTTATTCCTATTTATTCTATTTATCCCCTTTGTATATTTTATTTATATTTGTCTCTGTATTTATATATGTGTGTGTGTGTGTGTGTGTGTGTGTGTGTGTGTGTGTGTGTGTGTGTGTGTGTGTGTGTATATATATAACAGTTCTGTAACTGTAACTTTGGTCGTTGCTGTGCTTTTTTTGGAAGTCGAATTTCCCAGAGGAACCCACCCGAGGGATTAATAAAGTTCTATCTTATCTTATCTTATCTTACTTCTAGGCTGGACTACTGTAATTTATTATTATCAGGATGTCCTAAAAACTCCCTGAAAAGTTAATTCAAAATACTGCAGCAAGAGTACTGACAGGGACTAGAAAGAGAGAACATATTTCTCCTGTATTGGCTTCCCTTCATTGTCTCCCTGTTAAATGCAGAATAGAATTCAAAATCCTTCTCATCACATACAAGGTCAGAACTGGAACCAGCTCCTAGTTTGGATTTGGGAGACAGACACCCTCACTACTTTTTTTTTACCCTTAAAACTTTCCTTTTTGATAAAGTATATAGTTAGGGTTGGATCAGGTGACCCTAAATCCTCCCTTAGCTATCCTGCAATAGGTGTAGACTGCAAAAGGCCTCATTAAATACAAATAGACATCACAGCTTCTTAAACACCTGGAGCTCAAAAAGTGCTAAAATATGAGGAAGAACTCAAAGTCAACATGGATTAGTCAAGATGAATATTGTACTCTATTCCTTTCTAACATGTCCAAAGAAATTTCAGGATAATGACCTGTTAGATCTGCTTCATGCTCCCAAACCTCTGTGTCAGTTTGGTCTCGGATGGTTAGAGTCACTTCATCTGTATTCATTGGAAGGCGGATCACAAATGTTGGGGAGTAGTTTGGTCCAAACTCCATGTCAAACTCAGCTCTCTGAAAAGAAGCATAGCATCAGTATCTTTAACTATGGCAGTCTCATTAAGTGATTGTAACCCCATTCCTCTTATCATCTCATGTCTCAATTCATGTGGATGGCATAGTTTTGTACACCTAAGGCCCAGATTCTGTTTATAGTTTCCTCCATTGTAGACACTGATATTTCTGCCAATAAATCCTTACATGCTACCTACATGAACATAAAACGTACAACATCTTGATTCAAAAAGTCAATTTAAATGTTAAATGTAGAGAATATCTGCATTTCAGACACAGGGTGATTATTTTTGATATTGCTGGTATTATTTTACACACAGCTTGATGCCTCCATTTCATTAAAGTACTGGACAACTTTTCTTCAGAGTACTTACTTTGGGTTGGATTTTATTGGCCACGGGACAGTGAACGGTGTAGGTCGTATTTTTGATGAGGTTACACGCAGAAGGCACCAGGATGAAGTGGGAAGTTTGATGATGCTTGCTTACCTTAAGAGTCATCAGAACATTTTATATAGAGTTTTATCCCTGCATGAAACTATTTACACAATGACACCAAATAAAATCTACAAATTTTAAGAAGGGATACACTTGAACCAGCAAACATTTGGCATTTTAATTGAAACTTTGATTTGTTATCATTAAACTATTTTTCTAATTAATTTTTGTTTTTCCAGAAAAAAAATGCATGACTGACAGCTAAAATGGTTACTGAATAGCTAAGGGTAATATAAACAGGAGTTTATATTTAGGAGTTTGGTATTGTTGTGCAGTATACAGTAATGGATGCTTATAATCACTGCTTGGTTATGTTCTGGGTAGCAGCAGAGATATTAGAGAGAGAGATGAATGTAGTTAAAGTTCAGTTGTGACTCATTTGTCTGCATTTGGGTCCGAACAACACAACCTCCACGCCATCTGCCATCACACATTGTGACAGTTGGAGAATTTTGGTAAAGATGGTGGATAGAAGTTTAGATTACTGGAGAAAGTTTTTAAAACCTTACATGTGGGCAAAGTCAGCTAGCCTTAATCAGGTGCAACTACTGGTTTCATACAAGTGTTTCTTTTAATTTCCAAAACATTGAATTAAAGTTTATTTACATAAAGCTTTAAAGTAACTACCAAAGTAAGGAGCCAATTGTCTTTTAAATATGGCTGCTATGTAATACACTTGCTTTTACAAGGATTTTGATAGAAGTGATCAGTTTAAGATGACGATGTTTTTTAGTGACACTTTAAACTGGCTGTGGGTTGGTGGGCAGCCATAATGTTTAAACACCATGTGCTCCACAAAGAAGGAAATGCTACAACAGCAACAGCACAAGTCAGCTTTTCACAGCCTGTCCACAAAGAAAATCAATTATTAGTACCAGAAATTATAATGGGACTTATTTGTAAGTGATTCATTTCTCCCACTGCACATCTACACTGGAACACATTGTGGTTCCACCTGCCACATCCATTTTTAATCAATGTTCACATTCATTGTTGGTAGCTACAACTCCAAGTGAATATAAAGCTACACAACTATGCACTAAACTGGATTCTATTGACACAATGAAAAAGATGAAGCTGTAAGAATAATGAATTTTTACCTCAGTCATGGGGATGTTTCTTGGCAGAAGAAGCACATTGATGTTTTGAGTCTGTTTTGCATGGTTTGGTGGACTGAGGAACAATAAAACTTGCCCCTTAACTTGCTTGTTCCAAATGCCCATCAGGAAATCCAGGACAAGGCCAAAGGCAGAGAGGTGGGGGTTATCAACAATCACATGAGTATCTGTGATCTTTAGTGGTTTGATGAAGCTCATTGCATCATCAGTGAAGTGGGCAACAGACAGGAGGCCATCAGAGAGCAGAGCTGTGAAAACACAGAGTCAACAGACATGTATTTATCTGAACACCCACTGATCCACTCATTTTAACTACCCACTCTTACAAACAGCCTTTTTATCCCTTTTCTGACCCTCTTATCTCTTCTCTGTTCCTTTCTTTTCAACATGCTGTCTGGAATGAATTCATATTACTAAGATCATCATCAATCACTTCAATATGACCGTGCACTTTCTCCATTTTCAGTGAGTGAGCTCATGTGCACGACTATGTTCACGTGTGACTCATAGTGAGAATCTGTATGTATATTTGTGCCCATTCATATACACATATAGCGACACACACACACATAGTTGAGTACATGTAAAAGTCAATCAATATGAATTATCAAGGCTGAAGAAATATATCGGGGAAGCAGAGAGCATGAAAATAAACAGCCTGCTCTCCAAAGATCTATCCAGCATGTACTCTCAGCTTCAAGAGAATAACAACACAACACAACTGGAACTGAGCAATATTAGGAGAACATTTGGGAGAAAGAGGTGTCACACAACACCACTGCCAAGTGGCTGGTGGACCTAAGAGCAGACTGCAGCAACCACCCAGAGCAAGAGCCAGTCAACATCACAAAGGCAGACATACAACAAGTCTCTGGGGTGAGTGGGTGATTATTGTGGGCATTACTGTCAAAAATAATCTGCTCACCTTCCTGTGTTTTTACACAGTGTGGGAAGTGTAGCTGACGGACAGCATCCTCACAACATTTGATGTCGAACAGTGGCCCTGCAGCCATCTTTCCAGCTGGTTGGAGGACGCTCTCATCCCACTGGATGATTTTGTACAGGAGCTCTGCCTCTCGAGTCATATCAAACACCAGTCCAGTCAGAATACAGTGGAACAAACCTGAACCAGGACACTTGAACCTGCAGGATATAACATAAAGGTTGTATGACCTGAACTTTTAAACCCTAAAATGAAAAACTTTGTTCCTATCAGACTCCGCCTCACGATCACTGACCAAAAAGGGAGCACACAGACAAAAGTAAAACATATATCAAAGTTAATGCAGGTAACTCCAGGAGCATTTACTCCTGTAGCACCTCCACTAATGATGAAAGAGTGAAACAGAAATTATAGTAGTTTCTGTTGGTGGTTCAAAGGAAAGCTTGTTTTATTTTTCTACATTTCCCTAATTTTGTCTTCAATGAGATGAAAAACACAGCTAAAGATTTTCCTGTAGTGTGCATTAAAAGTATTATCCAAAATTTAATGCTAAAATGCTCCCAGAGGTCTGCATAATCTGTGTTGTTCTAATTGTGAGACATGAGAACAACAGAAATTTTATAGAAAATTTACTGAGAATGTGACATGAAAGCTGTTACAGCTGTGGATTTATGATGTTGTTACCTGTAGAAGATTTGTGCACATTCATTTTTTACTTCAGGTATGAAGCTGGATGGAAGCTGGAATTTAGAAAGAAACATTTGTTAATAAATGGTGAAAACTTAACTTAAGCATGCTTTACAGATAAATTGTATGTACAGTGTGAGAATACAGGGCTATAGAACCTTTTTTTTTTTGCCTGTCCCGTTTGGCTCTTTTGCCATCAGAATTGTTGTCTAAAGGCAAAGAAAGATGCCCAACGGATTTACTTTACCAAATTGACCATCCCAGCCTTGCCGTAATGGTCCATTTGATTCACCTTTTATTGTTTGTTTTATTTTCACTTGCTGAACATGGGACAGACTTGACTGGGGGAAAGAAGGGGAGAAAGAAAGAGGGAAAGAGAAACAGCTGAGAAGAGGGACGGGGGAGAAGGGCAAAAAACAAGAACCAACAGAACGGGCAGAGAAAAAAAAATGCATATATCAATCACCTGGATCACCTGCTGAGAAAGAAAAAAGAAAACAAGCAGAAGAGAACAAGAGTAATAGAATAAACAACATCACAATGATATATGGGAATATGACAGTAAATACTAAATGTTAAACATTATTGTGCAGCACATAAGATCAATAGAACACAGTGTGCTTTGAGGTAGGAGCCAAAAAGGGTGTAGTTTGTGGGTGTGATCACCCGTGTGTACACCTGTGAGCATGGGCTATAGAACCTGACAGTAAATTTACTAATCAGGATCCCACAGAAAGGGTATAAAGCTAAAGCTTGATGCAATATGATAATTATTCATGTGTAGTGTAGTGAAGTTTGTTAGTTTCATCTTATAAATTCACAACAGGCATTCAAAGAGTTTGTTAGGATCTACCAATCTTAGAATCTTCAGATTATTCTGAAATATAAATATAGTTTCTTTTCTCACCTTCTTCACATCTTTGGGATTTATGTCTGGTGTATTTGGACCCGGTTTGACCTCAGAGTCATCTGATGGGAGAAGACAAAGAGCTGTTGGCAATATAAACTATACTCTAGCTCTCTTCATAAGATCTGAGTCAGTCTGACTTCAGCAGCTCAAGGTTTCCTGCCATCATTTTTCTCTCAGAAACTTCTGGATTCCACCTGTGGAAATACCTGCTGCTGTTTCCCCATTTATCGATTTGGTTAAGTTAGCTGGTAGCTGTCCAATGCTGAAGCATGTTAGCTACAAACAATTTAGTTGAATATTTGTATTCTCTAATATTGTCTGCTATGTGGATAGACTCACTTTTCAGTTAGACTCTACAGCTACAGCCAACGTTTTTTGTGTTCAATATAGACCGAGTGGGCTGTTGTGGTAATCGTCTACTTACAGTACTGTGGAAAAGTCTCATTCCAAACCTAATTTATTTATATTTTGCTAGGAAATGTGAGAAAAAGGTGTAGTGATTTATTTAGCTTTTTTATTTTTATTTACTCTTTTGCAATTTTAATTATTTCCAAAGTCGATATTTGGTATGACCAGTTTTATTCTTCAGCACAGTCTGAGCTTTCCTAGGCAGCTTTCTTGCCATTTCTTTAAGTAGTCTTCAGGAATAGTTCTCCAGGCTTCTTGAAGGACATTCAAAATTCTTCTTTTGATGTTTCTGCCTTTTGTTTCATTTTCTGTTAAGATGATCCCACACTGCTTCAATAATGTTGAGGGTCCAGATTCGGGAGAGGTCAGTGTATGGCTGATAGTGTTCCAATGGGATCACAATGGTAAACACAATGTTCTCACACACTTTCTGTGTTTACAATTCCATCAAGTTTGAAAAGATCTTCGCCACTGGCTGAATTACAGCATCATCATCATCATCATCATCGTTTATTTGTATAGCACTTTAAGAACACACCAGGCAGACCAAAGTGCTGAACAACACAGATCAAAACAAGAACCAAATTACAGCATCAAACCATGACAGAGATTCCACTGTTTTACAGATAGCTGTAGACACTCAGTGTTGTCATCTCTCATGACCTTCTCCAAACATACTGACAATGATTTGAAACAAAAATTCTAGTGTAACTCCGTTTCCCTTCCTTAAGAATGGCTTCTTTACCCCGATCCTTCCACTGAGACCATTTCTGATGAGACTTTTGTAACCAGTAGAATGATCAGCTGATGGTCCAGACACCTCTCTTAGGTCCTGTGTCAGGTCTTTCTTGGATTCCCTCCTATTTCTTAAGAACATAACAATAAATAAAAAAATAAATAAAAATGTATTTATTTATTTTTAGGAATGATGAAATATGCTAAGTTTTCTGGGAATAGCTGAGAATCCCCATGTTGGTACAAAAATACTATTTTTATGTCTGCCAAACTGTGTTATCTTTGAAAATGTTAATAGATTCAACTAAAAAAATGGGGGGAAAAATATGTGATTTTGCAACAAGCTATTAGAAGAAATTGCCTAAAGAAACAATTTAAAACTTTTTATTACACAAATTTGTCTAGTATGTGTTGACAAAACACTGGTTTATTTGTTGTTGTTGTTTTTTAGCTTAAATAATTCATTGGTCAGTCTTAACTGGCTTAAAAAAAACAAATAAAATATTATTGTGAAAGTGTGTTACGGTTCTGGGTCATTTTGACCCGGCTTTTGCAGTTTCTTATATTTTGGTAAATTTCTGTATTATGATTTATGTTCTGGTTCTTTAGTTGTGCTATTTTGATTATTATTCTAGATTTAGTTCAGTGTCAATCTGTGTTTTTGTAAATTGTTTCTTGTTTTACTTTGAAGGTTCATGTCTGATGTCAGTGTGTTCAGTTTTACTTCCCCCCTGTCTTGTTAGCCCTGATCTCTCCCAGCTGTGTCTCCCTCCTGTTTCCCATTCCCTGATTACTCCCTGTGTACCTGTGTATATAAGCCCTGTGTTTTCCTTTGCCCTCTCTGTTGCGTCGTTAATGTCTGCGCACCCTCATTTTCACTGTGTTCCGTTTGCCTGCCTGTTAGTTTATTTGTTTTCCCAGTTTAGTTAGTTTTCTGTTCTTCTTATTTTCCTGTAATAAACTGAGTATCTTAAGTTCACCTCTGCCTCCATGAGCCCTGCGTTTGGGTCCAATCCTGCCTACCTGCACAGTAGGGGTGCAACGATACACAAAATTCACGGTTCGGTTCGGTTCGATACTTTGGTGTCACGGTTCGATATTTTTTCGATACAAAAAAATGTTCATGCATTTTTAATTTGTCATTTATTAAAATTGTAAATATATATTTTAACTCAAAAGTACAGTTTTTAAATTTAACCCCAACCCTTGTGCGTGTTTTTTATTTTGACAGCGAATGCGCACCTGCGGACCACTTATGTGCAGCCCTGGTTATTTAGCTCGTCATATTGCAGCCACAGAAATTCTTTTGTCCATGAAACCATAAAGCTGCACTTTCTTTTTGCCTTATAGTCTGATTTGTCATAACTTCTCCGTTTTGTGGTAAGCTTTTCTTTGGCTGTCACTTCTTCACCCTGACCTGTCTTATTTGGCTCAGCAGAACTAAAATATATATCTGTCTGTGAAGGTCATCGTAGTCAAATATATATCCTGCTGCTTTTACACACGCACTCACATAAGCTCAGCGATTCTCTGCGCGATCAACCTCTCACATGTTTAAGCTGCGAGAGATTTCACTTGTCATGTTTGCATAGTAAGCTAACGATTAATAAGACGATGTCAGAGGAATTGGTGCACAAATTATCATCACTCACAGATCAGTGCTGTCATTGCAAAGTGAAAGCAAAAAAACAAGCACAAATTCAAACGCGATTTCAATATGTCACATATTGACAGTGGCTCACCGATGCCAATGACATAATTACCCAGCTACATTTCTGAAAGAATGCAAAAGCATTGACATATATTTTTCCTTCCTACAATAGCCCGATGGGCAGGGAAGAGATAGATTTTGGTAGCCCGTCTGAAAAAAATCGCTAGCTCCGGGACGTCGGGCTAGCGATATTGTGAGCCCTGTATCTGATTGAGGAATCACTCATCTTTGGAAAAGAGAGTTTATTACAGAGAAATGGCTCTTTCCAAAATAAAAGCTATACTATCCGCTTCTTCTGGGCTATATTCTCAGCAGCATAAGGAGAATCATGTGCTAACAGCTGTCTAAATGACTCGGCTAAAGTTAGTAGCATGCTTGTTGTTTTTGTCTTTGCACTAGGATGATGTCGGCGTAAATGTGCAGTCATATTCGTTGTGTTCCCACTAGTGCTTTCAGGTTAATCTCGTTGAAATGACCTTAACGCCACAACACGGCAAATCTCCGTTAACAAGCTACCGCCGATCGCCCCGTGCATGGGGCTAGACGGCCAACACGTTAACGAGCTAACTGCGCTAACACACTAGTTCCCACCCATGTAATTGAGCATTGCATGGCACATCCAACATACTGTTTTACTTTAGTGCATGACTCGCTTACCTTCAGGGTCATACGTGTAATATTCTGTCTCAAACTTATGAATAACGTATTCATAATCTGCTTCGTGAGCCACCATTATCTTTATTGCCGCTCGTCCATTTCAACATAAAACACACCCACTTTCGTAACAGCAAACACTCCCCGTTGCCACTACGGTGGACCACAAGGGACAGTAAGCACGGAGTGCAAACATTATCAGCAATACAACATCTCCCTTTTTTTTTTTTTTAGATGCCCACCAGTGACACAGCTGGTATACATTTCAAAATAGAACATCCCGAACCTGAGGATAAGGAACAGTTTTTCAACATTGCCATGTGTAAAATTACTGCGGCCTAAACTAACAACAACAATGCGATGTGGGATATGCACTCATTAGTACATGGACATTTGACATGTTTCCTTTTTGTTTTTTGTTAGGGCAGCGATCCGCCTACACCCTTTACATCACAGGTCAAGAATAACCCTCGGTTTGACCACTCGTCCTGATCTGGTGGTCAGTGCAGGGCTAGTGTCCATGGTTGGTGTTTTAGTGTCTCTAGATGGCGACAGGGGCTCTGCTTGTTGCTGAGCTGCACTATCTGGCTGGGTTACCAGATCGGATGTTGGTGCTGAAGGTGCCGGTGACGCCTTGGCGCCTCTCAGGTGCCGTCGGTTACGCCGTATAGTCTGTCCCTCGCCAGTGCGGATCACGAAAGAGCGGGCAGTCTCTGCAGGTCGGATGATGACAGCCGGTTTCCAGGCTCCGGACTCGTGCTGAAAGCGAATATGGTCCCCCTGCTGCAGCCTCGGTAGTGGTGTGGCGCTGCGATTGTAGTAACGCCTCTGATGCTCTTGTCTTTCCATCCGTGTTTTTTGCACAACCGTCGGGCTTATGATGCGAGGTACCAGGTGGCATCCGGTAACAGGAAGCACTGAGCGTAGACGTCGACTCATGAGGAGCTGCGCGGGTGACCTGAAGCTGTCGACTGGCGTGTTCCTTTGCTCCAATAGGGACAGGTAGGGATCTACTCCCTGAGCATGAGCTTTATCCAGAACTGATTTGGCCGTCTTGACTGTTCTTTCGGCAAGGCCGTTGCTTTGCGGGTACCAAGGACTTGAGGTCGTGTGGACAAAGTCCCATGAGACTGCAAAATCCTTGAACTCTCGAGAGCTGTATTGTGGGCCGTTATCTGAGATAAGCGTCTCTGGTATGCCATGTCTGGCGAATATGGCCTTGAGCTTTTTGATGACGGACCCTGCAGTGGTAGAGAATAGCCTTTCGACCTCAAAGTAGCGGCTGTAGTAGTCCACAACTACCAAGTAGTCCCGTCCACGCCATGTGAAGAGATCTGAGGCCACTGCCTGCCATGGCCTCTCAGGGATCTGGTGTGGGATGAGAGGTTCTTTGGGATTCGCCGCGCGCCTCTCCTGACATATGGAACAGTTTTCCACCGTGGCAGCTATGTCCTTGCCCATGCCTGGCCAGAAGAGGGCGTCCCTTGCTCTCTGCTTACTCCTCTCAATCCCCATGTGCCCAGTGTGGATTCTCTCCAGCATGTTGTTTCTTAGGGCTGTTGGCACTATAATTTTGTCACCTTTGAAGATGATGCCATGGGAGTGTGAAATTTCATCTCTGAAAGTCCAGAAGTCCAAAAGGGTTTTGGGGCATTTTTTCTGTCCTCAGGCCAGCCATCCTGCACAGTTTGCTTCAGCAGGGTGAGCTGCGGGTCGCATCCTGTTGCCGCCTGTATCTCGGAGAGTTTTTGTCACTTACTGGGAGGCTGTTTATCACTGAGTGGATCTGGTCCTCCATGCCTTCACTCAGCGTGCTGTCTTGGTCGGGCAATGGTTTCCTGGACAGTGTGTCGGCCACAGGTATGTCTTTTCCGGGCCGGTGCACGATCTCTATGTCGTATCTCTGCAGCTGTAACAGCATGCGCTGCAGACGAGCAGGGGCTACAGAGATTGGTTTCTTCAGTATGTGCTCCAACGGCTTGTGGTCCGACTCTACGATGACTCTCCTGCCGTATATGTACGTGTGGAAACGCTTGCATCCAAACAGCACTGCAAAGAGCTCTTTTTCGATCTGTGCATAGTTGACTTCTGTTGGGGTCAGTGTCTTTGAAGCATATGCTATTGGGTGTCCGTCCTGCATCAACACAGCTCCCAAACCATACTTTGATGCATCTACCTGTAGCCGTAGCTCCTTGGTCGTGTCGTAGTATGCCAGTATGGGGCCTGGTTCTCTGGTTATGAGATCTTTCATTTGCTGGAAGACTCTGTCGTGGGTCTGATCCCAGATGAACTCTGAGTCTTGTTTGAGCAGCTGACGCAGCGGTGCGTTCACCTCTGATAGTCGTGGTGCGAATCTGGACAGGTAGCTCGCCATTCCAAGGATTGTCTCAAGCTCATTCTTATTCTCAGGAGGTGGCATGTCCTTTATGGCCTGCAGTTTCTTTGGGTCTGGCTGGATGCCCTCCCGGGTGAGTTTGTGTCCAAAGTAGCTCACTTCTGTGGCGCCTATGACACATTTCTCTGGATTGAGACGTACTCCTCGCTCCCGTGTGCGCTCAAGCATGGCACGGAGGTTCTCGTCGTGTTCCTCCTTTGTCCTGCCAAACACGAGGATGTCATCCACGATGGCTGCCACTCCATTGAGCCCTTCATACGTCTCATCGATTTTCCTTTGGAAAATGTCCTGTGCTGATATTATCCCAAAAGGAAGGCGCAGAAAACGGTACCTGCCAAAGGTCGTGTTGAAGGTGGTGAGGAGCGATGACTTGGTGGTTAGTTGGATGGCCCAATAGCCTGAGCGAGCATCCATGACACTGAAGTACTGTGCTCCTGCCAGCTTTGGTGTGATGTCATCCAATGTTGGAAGCGGGTAATGAGGTCTTTTGATGGCTTTGTTTAATTCGCGAGGATCGAGGCATACTCTGAGCTTCCCAGTACGCTTCTCTGCGACCACCAGTCCGTTTACCCATTCTGTGGGTTCTTTTACTTTGATGATTATGCCGTTTTTCTCCATGTCATCCAACTCCCGTTTCAGTCGTTCCCGCAGTGTGAAAGGGATCCTCCGGGGGGGCACACAACGGGCATGGCGTCTGGGTCAATGTGTAAGTCGCATTCTCCTGGGAATTTCCCTATGCCCTCGAACACATCGGCAAACTCCTCCATGACATTTGTGATCTGTACTGACATGACCAGCTTGACTAGGTTTAGATCCAGGCATGCTCTCAACCCTAGGATGGGGGGTGCTGCAGTGTCTACTATGTCAAATGTCAGCATCTTGTGAATGTCTTTCCACCTGCACTTCAACTGGCATGTGCCCTTGATGTTGAGTTTTTCTCCTCCATAGCCAGATAGTGTGCGTGTGGGCGGTGCCAAGCTAACCTGCTTAAAACACTTCTTAAACAATCGGGCAGGAATGATGTTAGCAGTGGCTCCTGTGTCAAGCTTAAAACTCACGGTGTGATGCAGTGAGCCTACTTCTACGTCAGCGTAAGCCTGTTCATCGGCCTCCCCTTCGTTGCACTTTGTTATGGAATCTATGAATAGCTCCGCTTCATCGCTTGGAGTGTCAGGGTTAATAGAGTACACTGGGTTGGGTTGGTGTGGTGCTTGTGAACGGCATGCTTTGGCAAAGTGGTTCATTTTATTGCACTTTTTGCACCTCTTCCCTTTTGCAGGACACTCCTCCTTCTGGCTGTGTGCTCGTGCACATCTTCCACACACTTTTCCCATCTTATTATAATGAGGTGCCCTCCTATCTTTTTGCTGCGTACTCTGGCGCTTAGCGGATACTGCATGCGCGGGCGCTGCTCCCTGCAGGCTAGTGTGTGGGTCAACCATGGCTTTCAATTGCTCTCGTGCGATCTCATAGGAGCGTGCAATGTCTATGGCTTTTTCTAGAGTCAAATCTGACCCTTGGCTCAGCAGCTTTTCTCTGACTTGTGGTAAACTGGTTGCAAAGACAATCCTGTCTCGGACCATTTCATCACTGTTAACGTAGCCACACTGCTTGACGAGTAACTTTAACTCGGTCACAAAGTGTTCAAATGACTCCCCTTCACCTTGGAGTCTTTCATTAAACTTGTATCTGGCGAAAATGGTGTTCGTTTTCGGCATGAGGTACTGTTCAAACCTGTCGAGATATGTGGTCAGCTTTTTAGCTTCTTCATCCGATAGCTGCCATGTGTTATAAATGTCCCTGCCTCTTTCTCCGACCCACAGAAGAAGATAGCTGCACTGGGTCTCCTCGGGCTTGCCGCTTAGCGGGCCGCTAAACATTGCAGGAACTCCCGACGAATCCATTTCGCTCTGTCGGTGGGCGTTTAGTTCGATTTACTCTGACACCATGTAATATTCTGTCTCAAACTTATGAATAACGTATTCATAATCTGCTTCGTGAGCCACCATTATCTTTATTGCCGCTCGTCCATTTCAACATAAAACACACCCACTTTCGTGACAGCAAACACTCCCCGTTGCCACTACGGTGGACCACAAGGGACAGTAAGCACGGAGTGCAAACATTATCAGCAATACAACAATACGTCACATGAAAACCAAAATAATTCCAAACGCCAGATCTGAATGAGGGTGCGGGAGGTCCATGTTGCAAAGAGAGCTTAACTTCTGTCTCGCTAGCTTGCCCTGCGCTCTTCCTTCTGACGATGCTGTCTGTGTTGAGCGCTCAGTGAATCTGCTTTCGACTACTCCGCCTAGGCTGCACTGTCGAGCCTAGGCGGAGTAGTCGAATGCAGATTCACTGAGCGCTCAACACAGACAGCATCGTCAGAAGGAAAGTTGATAAAATAAATTAAAAATGTTGTATTGTTCGATACATATGCGTACCGAACCGAAAGCACTGTATCGAACGGTTCAATATCGATACGAATATCGTTGCACCCCTACTGCACAGCACACAGCCATGACAAAGTGGTCATGGAAGCAGAATGAAAGGTGGCTGAAGATTTTTGTATAGTGCAGTATTTTAGTAGTTATTTTCCTTTGTGTATCTGCTTCCTTACAGTGGCTATGTTTACAAAGATTCTAATATTCCCATTTATTGGCTATAAGACTAAACAAAATAAAAAATGTAATAAATAGATACAAAAAGTCAGGATGAACACTGCCAAACTCAGTTCTGAGGTATGGGACCTTTTCATAACATAATTCAATCTTAATAATTGGTTACTTCAAACTTGCTGGACAATGTTGCCATCTTGACATAAATGCACAGCGACATAAGCTTCAACTGATTAAAATATGAGAGCTGCAGCTTTTAAAATTCCACCTGAGTAGAATTTAAAACAAACCTTTTGATGGTTTAATGTTATGTTTTATTTAGAGGTTAATCACATGAATATGGTGTTATTGATGGCTAATATTAAGGGCCTGTTCACTAGCAAATTTGAGTAAAGGCTGAAGGGGTTGTTTTAAAAGTTATAAAACACTTTTTTGGCTCTAAGGTCACACATTTACAGGAGCAGATCAAGTAATCTCTCTCTTGGGATATTTTTGTTGATGTTGTTACATTTTTCATAATTCAGTATAGCGCAAATCATGACAAAAGTCACGTCAAGGTGCTTTATGTTGTAAGGTAAAGACCAATGTTGGGCAATTTACTTTGAAAATGTAATTCAATATAGTTACTAGTTACTTCTTCAAAAAAAATAACAGAGTTAGTTACTGAGTTACAATATTCTAAAAGTAACTAATTACCAGAAAAAGTAACTATTGCGTTACTTTAAAAATAAATGTAAATATGTAAAAGAACTTACTGAAATACTAATATATAAATTACTAAATATACTTGAACATACTAAAATATGTATTCGACTGTTTGTTATAATTTGAATATGTAGTTGAAATAAATGGGCACTTAATAGAGGGGACTAACAGGAAACACTGTACACTAATCTAAACTATTCAAATGTTACCCTGTGATAATATGAAATAAAACACCAATCAGATAAAATTTTGTAATTGTAGTAGAGCTTTTTTTTCTATTTGCAATAAATAATACAGTAAAACACAATAGATGTTTTAAACCTTGTCTGTGATCTCTTTTTAAGAGAAAAATATTTTTTTCTACTTACTTCCACTTTAAAATTGCTACCTTTGAATTATCCAGACTCTCAATGATGGTGTCTCATTACTGTGCGTATGTACAATGATGAGACACAGTTTGTATGTGAACACCCGCCCAAGTCTGCCTCTTGTGGGTTCACCAGGACTACTTTAATTTCCTCAGCCAATCAGCAGCACTTGTGTGAAGAACTGACATTTGTAAGACTCAGATACTCGTGTTTGTTCCTTACTTATCTTCTGAGAGAAACTACTAAAGTCGTACCTATTGATGAAGCTGCCGCCTGGATTTCCAGCATCTCCACTTCAAGTTCCTTTGTTTGCTCCTCCTCTGATCTACAACAACACAAGAAAAGCAAACTTTAAATGTGCATACATTAGATGGCATCACCTTGTATGTGAGGAGACTGATTCTGGATTTAACAGGGACCCAGTGAAGAGTATCCTGTCCTACCATAACTCTGAGACAGGATTTTAGAGATATTATGGAAGAAAGCAGTCGTGCATATGTCTTTATTATGTGCACTGAAGGACATATGCTGATCAAAAACTACTTCAAGATTCCTCACAGTGTTACTGAAGGCAGAGAAAATGCCATCCAGAGAAAGTATCTGGTTCGATACAACGTTTCTAAGATTTTTAATAAAATCAGTTTAATCTGAATTTAGAAGCAGGCAATTTGAGTTCATCCAGGTCTTTATGACTTTAAGACATTACTGCAGTTAAATAATTCTTGTGTGACAACAGCAATCTAACATTAGTACAGAGCAAAGTGAGTCAGATAGTTATGCCACAGAACCTGAACAGGAGCTTTTAAAAGGTATTTTGAAAAGCATATATTTTTTTAAAAAATCTCAGGTTTCTGCTATAAATGCTTGTCCTCAAAAACAGCTAAATGCCTGTTTGTTTTCTGAAGCTGGCCAGACGTTTGGATTCCTGTTGACATTTGTCTGACGTTTGGATTCTGTAGCTGTGTACTTCCCTCTGCCTTCATTGATTAGTAAGCTAATTAGGAATCTGTCATAACTATTGTGAAGCAAATGAAGTTAGAAGTGACTTACATAACAGACTTAAAGTTTTTTTGTTTGTTTTGTTAGAGTTTCTGAAGTGCATCTTTTGTTTTTCTACTTTTTCCTCAGTACCCCTGTACTCTTTGACTGTTGTTTCTGCTGCTGTAGGTCTTTGATCAACTCAGAATAAAAACTCTGACTTAAGTGCTTGAAAGCTCGTCTCAAGGTAAAGCAAATATGTTGTTGTTATTATTATTGGGCATTCTACGTTCTGTGAATGATTCCTCTGAGAGTCTGAGGAGAAACTCCTTCACTGATGGAGACTGATTCATGTTGGCTCACCGCACACAGTCGATGGAGGGGTTGATGGAGAGCAGCTGCAGTAACACATCAGTCGAAGCATCAGTGATCTGATTGTGACTCAGACTGTAACACAAACACAACAAGTGGCTCTAATTGATTACTGCACATTAGCTGAAAGATACATAAAATCAATGAGGTAAACTCCCAGTAATGATACAACTGATATGTTTGTCACTGTGATAAAGCAAAACAAGACAATCCATTGTGTAAATGTCAGGATGACAGTCATAGAGACTCTGCAACACTTCAGAAAAAAAAGATAAAAAACTATATGAGCTTTGCTTTTATATAAACCACATTCTTAATTATGATATTAAAGAAAAATATCTAATTGTTATCAAACCTCTTTAACCTGATTTTACTATCTTACACTACTGACTAATATGATCACAGTATTGATGCTTTCGAGCCAATATTTTCATCTAATGATTATCAGAGGACTGTTAAAGAATTCCTCCCTAATGATGACAAGTGCTTCACCAGATCTCAAACTGCTTGTGTTCCTTGAAGGCTGCTCTGTGCACGATGTTGTTGCTGTAGAGTCTAGAAAGAGACCAAAGCAGAGAGAGCAGACGTCACTCATTCACTCAGAACAACATGAATCCATGTGAGCTCAGACTGTGAATGATTCCTCTGAGAGTCTGAGGAGAAACTCCTTCACTGATGGGGACTGATTCATGTTGGCTCACCGCACACAGTCGATGGAGGGGTTGATGGAGAGCAGCTGCAGTAACACATCAGTCGAAGCATCAGTGATCTGATTGTGACTCAGACTGTAACACAAACACAACAAGTGGCTCTAAGTGATCACTGCACATCATATTATTGTAGTGTGTGTGAACAGGCTGATGGTTATTGGTGCCTCCCAGAGAAGGATCAGTGTGTGACACTCACTCCAGGACTTGGACTTTGTGCAGATGTGTGATGAGAGGGAGCAGCAGCTGGTCAGTGAGCTGACAGTGACTGAGGTCCAGCTCTGTCAGCCCTTCACACGAGTCCAGCATCTGGACCAAAGCCCCACAGACCCTCTGATCCAGCGTGCTGTGACTGAGATCCAGCTCTCCACCCAGGGCTGCACACAGGGACACCGCCCGCCTCACTGTGTCCCTCTCACTGTTCACAGGAACCAGAGACAGCAGCTGGAGGAGGACAGTTTTACTGACTCTAAACGGGACAAACAGAGCAAAGAGAAACTATCAGGATGCATCAACACCAGTGTGAACAAGCTTCTCTCTGGTTTAGACTCTTCTGTGGTCTTTCCCACCTGAGGTGGACCCTGTGGAGGACAGGAAACAGCAGGTCCAGCACGCTGTCCTCCACCTCACAGTCTCGCAGGTCGAGCTGTGTGTCCCGGCTGCTGTGTGTCAGGATGGTGGAGACGGCCCTGCAGTCATCAGCAGTCAGACTCAGAAGCTCAGGCTGATCCTCCTCTGGTAGCTCCACACAGGAGGAGCAGGACAGATCCAAGCTGTGCTGCAGAGTCCTCAGCAGGCCTGACGCTGCCTCCTGCTGGACGTCACAGGCAGCACAGCAGTGGATGAACCTGAGCAGCTGATTCCTGTCAACACTGCAAGGAAAAAACAAATGCAGAAGTACCGAATGTTAAAGAGTGTGTTGTAGATGATTTTAATCGGCGTAATTGGGCTTGTTTATTTCTCTTTCAGTTTACTGTTGGACAATCTGATCAGCAGGTAATTAGTACAAAGCCAAAATGTTGACCTTTTGTAGGAAGATTAACCTATGTGTTCATATTACATGAAATTTACCACAAATATCTGACCTGAGATGAGAAACTTTGTCCAGCATGAAGAGGATGGACTCTGCTCCCTCTGCTGGTATGGAGGTCCACAGGAGGTTCAGTTTGACTCCGTCTCCGTGTTTGAGGATGAAGATCAGAGCAGCACAGTCCACTGAGTCCAGCTCTCTGCAGCTCAGGTTGATCACATGACCAAGTGACCTCAGTAAACTGGGTACAGCGTGACTGTCATGAGCTCTGTAGAGCTCTCTGATGGAGCTCATCACAAAGCTGGGACTGGGCCTGAAAATAAACAGTTTATTTCCAACTTTGTTTAAAGGATCCATAAACTGCTGATTAAAGATGAGACAGCATTTCAAATCCTCCTGATTAAACAGCAGAAACTGTGTTTGGTAAAAGATCAAACTACATTCAGCACCTTTTAAACACAATCCTGTCCAGAAAGGGAAGCAGACGTGTGGTTTCCTCCTGTAAGAAGAGGTTCTTCCTCAGGTTCACAGTGATGGTCTGAGCTGACGCCTGCTGCAGCAGATAGTGAAGAAGCTCCCAGTTCAGACAGCAGGAGGTCAGGTCTCCACCAACCTTACTCAAGAAGGACAGCGTCAAGTCCTTGTCCTGGATTTCATGGAGGAGACACAGAAGCTGCTGGAAGCTCTCTTCACTCAGTCTGCAGAGACCATAAATATAAAATTAGCTTTAAAGTAAAAATGTACATTTTATTTGGCCTGTGATGTTCAGGAAAGACATTTACTTGACTGTTAGAGGACCATCATGGAGCAGCAGAGTAATCAGACCCTGAGCAGGGATGCAGCTGTCAGTCAGGTCTAACCGTCCGACTGTCCAGTGTCTCAGCAGGGAAGCCAAACTACTGACAGCCCTCAACATCACTCTCTGTGATGGTTGGGCTTTCTTAGGCACAAGAGAAAGCTCTTCCACAGCCAGCGGACAGACCACTCTGCCTCTTCTTACCCACTGAAACAGGAGCAAGGACATGTCGATGGAAAGCCTGAAGATCACAGAGACAAAAGAGCAGAAATGATGAACACCAAGAACCAAAGATTCAAAGTGGACAGCAGATAAATGGTGTTATAAGAACAAGAGAGTCATGATTTCACTTCCTGCCTCAGACTGTGTAGTTGTGTTGTGTGTCTAAAGAGGAGAGCAGCTCCTCTGGCAGACATCTTGCTGGGTGTGAGGATGAGATCCACTTTAGAGCCACACAGTTTGAGAACTCTCCCCACAGACCAGCAGCTTTTCCTGTTTAACTCTCCTGTTAACAGCAGCTGGAACCCCAGGAGCTGCAGCAGAGACTCCAGCTGCTGGGCCTCCTCTCTGGATCTTACAGACATGGATGTACACACTCTCTGGAAGAAGTCTGGATCACAGCTGAAACACAGTGGAGATGAAATGAGAAAATATAGGATGAGCTACATTGTTAAAAACCATATTATGTACTAATATGATATTGAAAACAGAACTTTTAATGTAATAATTTGGTAATTTCTAGATTATTGCTATGCAATTACAAAAGTAATAACCAGTTAATTTACAGTACTATCATATCAAAATTCTGCTATAACCATCCATCCATCTATCCATCTATCTATATAAACATCTGTGCTGAGTATGGAGTGGAAGTCCTGAGGTCAAAATGGGAGACACCCCCTAGGATGGTCGAAAATGACCATGTGAGGGTGAAGCTAACGGTGGTCCCAGTGGTAATTGGAGCACCCAGTCAGTGACCCCCAAACTAAGCGAGTGGCTCCAGCAGATCCCAGGATCAACATCCGAAGAGGGCAGTCCTAGGAACAGCAAAGATACTGCGCAGGAGCACAGGAGCTCTCAGACCTTTGGTAGACGACCTGAGCTTGAAGGATAAAGATTGTCCTGCAGGAGCGAGAGGGAATTTTTTTTTTTTTCATGCATATTCTTCCAAAAATTCTGCAGTCCAGTTTTCAACAGATTAGGTGAGGGGGTCGGAGGTATGGTATACTATATATACTATATGGTATACTAATATCCCAACTATCCATCCCCAATACATTTTGTAGTGGTTTATTTCTAATAATAGGCATTTTTTCAATATGACAGCCCGTAATTTTTCAGTATGCAAGCAGGCAGCTTGGTGCTACTTGCTGCAGGAGGCTGGATCTTTGGATGTCTAGAGGTCAATCAGTGATGAAGGCGCAACAGGTGGGTGGTGTTGAAACCCCCACAACCCTGAAATGGACAAGCGGAAGAACATGGATAGCATCTTGTATGTCTGATTTTATTGTGAAGCACTTTGTGATTTTTATGTGAAATGTGCTATATAAATAAATTTTACTTACTTACTTATCCTTTTAACTACCCCACCAAGAAAAATGAAATGGAGTTTATGTTTGCATTTCTCATTGACTTGGGTGAGGAATAACCACAATCACTTATACTTTTTTCAATAGACTCTATAGTTTTTAAAATATTGATATCTACCAAATGGTTGAGATGTCTCTTAATAGTTTACGTATAAAATGTTATTCAAGTCACTGGATATAGTTTATTTCTAGTAGTATGTGACTGAACTTTGCTGGTAAAGGAAAATTGTGTATTGAATAACAAAATATTGCATTTAAAAAGTGATTCAGAACAAAAATACTCATATTTGTCCCTCTGATTAAATGCTAGTGCAAGATCTGGACCAAGCTGAAACTTGTGAAGAAGTTGTGACAAAAGAAATCAGGGAGGGTGGGAGCATCTTTTTCTCTTCACTGAAGGTAACATTAAAGATCATGGATTCCCCTTGATATAGCAGCAAGTCGTGGATGATACCAAATTAACTTGCTCGACAGAACAATTTAAAGCCCCACTTATCTTGTTTGTTGGCAATATAAACTGAAACTGAACTATAGGCGGAGAGCCCCAGCCCTTGCGCTTTTCTATGAGGCCATGAACTCAGAAACACTGTGCTTGTATGTGTATGGTATCAGAAGACACCGCTCATGAACAATGTCTGAGCTAACACACAAATTCCCTTAGTGGTCCCTTGGACCACTGTAAGCAACATTAAGATAAGATAAGATAAGATAACCTTTATTAGTCCCACACGTGGGAAATTTGTTTTGTCACAGCAGGAAGTGGACAGTGCAAAAGTTATGACGCAAAAATTAGAATACAATAAGAATAAATACAGTACACAACTGTACAGAATAGAATAAAATAATATACTATATACAGTAGAATAAAATAGAATAAAAATATACAATAAGATAAAAATAGAATACGAATGCTATATACAACTGAGTAAAAATACAATGATGCCAGAAAAGATTATTGCACTTAGTGTTATTGCACATGTGTGGATGTGTGTGTTTGTTCAGTTAAAGTTGTTGTGGAGTCTGACAGCAGTGGGGAGGAAAGACCTGCGAAATCTCTCCGTCCCACACCGTGGGTGCCGCAGTCTCCCACTGAAGGAGCTGCTCAGTGCTGTCACAGTCTGCTGCATGGGGTGGGAGACGTTGTCCAACAGGGATGACAGCTTAGCCGCCATTCTCCTGTCATTCACCACCTCCACTGGGTCCAGAGGGCATCCTAGAACAGAGCTGGCCCTTCGGATCACCCTGTTCAGTCTCTTCCTGTCCCCAGCAGAGATGCTGCCGCCCCAGCAGACCACACCATAAAAGATAGCAGAAGCCACCACAGAGTCATAGAAGGTCTTCAGGAGTGGGCCCTCCACCCCAAACGACCTGAGTCTCCGCAGCAGGTACAGCCTGCTCTGCCCTTTCCTGTAGAGGGCGTCTGAGTTATGAGTCCAGTCCAGTCTGTTGTTCAGATGAACACCAAGGTACCTGTAGCTGTCCACAGCCTCAATGTCCATACCCTGGATGTTCAGTGGTTGCAGTGGAGAATGCTTGTGCCTGCGGAAGTCTACCACCAGCTCCTTGGTTTTACTGGCATTGATCTGGAGGTAGTTCAGCTGGCACCAGTCCACAAAGTCTTGAGTCAGTCCTCTGTACTCCTTGTCGTCCCCATCAGTGATGAGGCCGACTATTGCAGAGTCATCAGAGAACTTCTGCAGGAAGCACTGGGTGGAATTGTGGGAGAAGTCTGCAGTGTAGATGGTGAAGAGGAACGGAGCCAGAACCGTTCCCTGTGGGGCCCCCGTACTGCAGACGACCCTGTCCGACACACAGCCCTGAGTCCTCACATACTGTGGTCGGTCGGTGAGGTAGTCCAACATCCAGGTAGTGAGGTGATGGTCCACTCCAGAGTTCTCCAGCTTGTCCTTCAGAACCGAGGGAAGAATGGTGTTGAAGGCACTGGAGAAATCAAAGAACATGATTCTCACAGTGCTTCCAGCGGTCTCCAGGTGAGCGAGGGAACGATGTAGGAGGTGAATGACGGCATCATCCGCTCCAATGCCAGGCTGGTAGGCAAACCGAAGTGGGTCCAGTGATGAGCTTGTTAGGCAATTAGACATGTGCACTGTGGTCACGCCAGCATCGAATCCATGCAAGTAACATGGTTTATTAAAATAATCAAATTACAGCATTTACATTTATGTTAGACTACTTTTAATTAACTGTTTTAGCCCACTTAAAATGAAAATTTTAAAAAAAAATCTTGTTCATGACCTGTGTAGTATGTTAACACTTTTGGAAGTAAAAATAACTTGAACTCTAATTTTGAAAATACAACTTTCTTTTCTTTTATAAAGCTCTGATTTGTATTATGAGTATGAGTCTGTGGTCTGGGAGGTAGTCCTGTAACTCTGTCTGCAAAATACAGTATATAATGACCAATGTTGGGCAATTAATTATATAGTTACTTCATCAAAAAACTGAGTTTTGCAAGCAACAACGTTTTCTGCAGCTGTTTACCTAAAAATGCAGCCAAGGCTTTTTTTTTTTAAATAAACATTTCAAACTATTTACAGAACAATCAGCTGTTCTGCATCAAAATAATTTCTGTCCACTATGAGATAAAGGAGAACAACAGCCTGATACCTGCAGGCCTGACAACAGGAGATGTATCACTCCTGTAACATTCAGCAGTCGCCTCATTGCTCTGACACACACAACGAAACTATTGACTACACTACACACTAACTACACAAGATTTGCGCTAAATGTTGCAAATCTCTCACATCTCAAAACCGGCGTCACTCCTAAAACTTCCCCCCTTCCTAAACAACTAAATGCCATGTTGCCATATTATTTTTTACTGGTGGACATGGTACATTTTTCCACCAACAGGAAAGGGTGGGGGTTTTTTTGGATTTGTTTTTGCTCACAGGCGGAGAGCGCTTTTGAGCGCTTTCCTTATAAAACGTGTTTTTACCGTTTCTTCAGTAAATATAAACAAAGATAGTATTCAGGAAGAAAACCAAACATTGCAGATATTTTTATCATAACTCTGGTTTTACGTGGCCTATCAACACAATTTAAAAACTGGTATAAAGTCCACACTTTTTCCGTCAATTGTTCCATCTGTCCTGCTCACATCTCCAGTAGTTGTACACGTTGTCACTAACATGGTTTAACTCCACATCAGCCACGCCACTTTGCTAGCTAAAACACTGGTGTTGGCACATAAGGACGCTGTCATAGCCTGTCAACGACGTTGATTAGCTGCGTATATACGAATGTGAATCGCATTATTGGCTGGAGCAGCCAGTCACCAGTCACTTACTGACTCACACTGCAAGACAGAATGAATTGTAAACGTATTTACTTTGATTTCAATTGAGATTCGATTTTTTTTGTTCGCAATGCAGATTTTCTGTGCGCGGAGACCGTGCCAGTAGTGCACGATTGCGCACGTGCGCAGCTTAGAGGGAACATTGCTCATGAATCAGTCACAGGAGCACATGGTCTTGAGCCATAGACTTGTTTAGTGTCCGTCTAGTAATTGTGAAACATTTAATTATAATTTTGACAATTTCCAATATTCATTTACAAGCTAGTGCCATTTAATTAAAAGGGAATTATTATTATTATTTTATTATCATAATTGATAATTATGATTTCCAGGTTTACTTTTTAATTTTAAATATTTACTAATGTTGACTCAGAAAGTTAAAAATTTATAAATAAATGAGTATTTATTAAGGAATTTATTGAGGAAATTCTTTCAGCATATTCTTGCTGTGCTAACACTTAATGTGATTAATTAACAGCAATGGATAAGGAAATGGGTCCAGTAGATTGATTCTATGGCAAATAATTAATTTTAATAACATTTACGTTAATGTTTGAATTAGCAAAATAAAGTGAAAACTCAACCATTTGGTTGAGAACTTTCTGAAGAAATTTTAAACATTTAAGTTCTTTTTTTTTCTGTCAAGTTAAATACTTCTGTTCACTAAGTCCTCTAACACTATCATATGTCAAAATTATTACTATTATTACTATTGCTAGGAACCAAAGTTTAATCCAAAACTTTGCAACTAAAATTTTTCTTTTGGTTTCTGACTTTCTGGTTGTTAGAGCAGAAAACAAACCAACCATTTACATCCAGAGTGCCATCAGGTGGATTTTTGTCAGCATTACAAACCATAACCACATGGGATAGATGAATCAATTACTTGGAGTACTTGGCAGTCTTCTTCTTATTATTATATATAGGGACTCTTGTTTCTGCCTTGTCACACTACTATTACCACTTTATTACACAGCTATATTTCCAGATTATTACTCACAGTTTTTTGGCTCCTATCATTCCATCCATCCATCCATTCACTTCCGCTTATCCTTTTCAGGGTCGCGGGGGGCGCTGGAGCCTATCCCAGCTGTCATAGGGCAAGAGGCGGGGTACACCCTGGACAGGTCGCCAGTCTGTCGCAGGGCCAACACACAGGGACAGACAACCATTCGCGCTCACATTCACTCGCACATTCACACCTAATGGCAATTTGGATTTTCCAATTAACCTATCCTCACAAGTTGCATGTCTTTGGACGGTGGGAGGAAGCCGGAGTACCCGGAGGGAACCCACGCAAACACGGGGAGAACATGCAAACTCCACACAGAAAGACCCCGACCTGATGGTGGAATTGAACTCAGGACCTTCTTGCTGTGCGGCAACAGTGCTAACCACCGTGCCACCGTGCTGCCTGCTCCTATCATTCAATTACATAAATTTCAACATAATATTGCTCAACTATAACCATTGTTGCTATTATGATATTACTTAAATATCAAGTGGTCATTAATTTAGTACATGTATAATAATTACCACATCATAATGTTCTTCTGTTTGCCTTATTACCCTACGATTACCCCATTATTACCGAGCTGTAACAGAAAGTGTAAACAAAATTACCTATGCACCACCTTTTTCACCTGAGCTCAGACAATTAAGGCAGAAACTTTAGTAAACTCCTCTCTTCACTTTCTTCTTTACATCACTTTCTTGAATTTAACATCTAAATCAATTCATTCTACACTCATCAAATCTAAATCAAATCTAACCTTGTTTATTTTATAAACTGTTGTCCTGTTTCAGCATTAAAATTCATCTGAGATTTATAGAAAATATGAAACTTCATAGCAACAAACAGCTGAACAAGTCAGTGAAACACAGTGGTGTACTGAGCACGTTTCCCTCTGAAATATGACAGAGTCTGAATACATTTACAATATGATCCATATAGATAAAGTCACAAATATGATGCTGATGACAAACAAATAGCACAAGACAAAATCATCACTTTACCATTTATGGAGCTTCAAATATTTCCATCACTTCTTTTCACAGCACATCTTTTCTTACAGATATTTGACTCATGTGAAGAAAATTTCATTTACCTGAGCTGTGAGATATAAGGCAGACACTGCAGGAAACTCCTCACTTCACTCTCTTCATGTGAGCAGCCTGTCAGCTTCACATGTTTCTTCTCTGGTTGGAGTTTCAGCACTTCCAGGAGGATGGAGGTCTTTCTCTCTGAGAGGTTTATGGACCAGACTGCAGGAGCTGACTGGAAAACTGACTGTAATGATGGAAGGACACTCAAGCCTGTTTTAGTCTCATAGTCCTTCATATGGGAGCACATATCCAGCAGGAAGTCACACTGATATTTCTTCAGATCATCATCAATGGCAACAAAAGGGAATGTATCAAATCTGCACACTGATGATAACAGGTCCAGTATCTTCTCTCCTGTCTGCTGTTCTCTCTCTGCTGCTGCACAGAACAGGTTCACAAAGAACCTGATTTCTTCATCTGGATCCTCAAAATCAACACTGGAACAATAAGAAGGAAACATTTAGTGATGATTTGATGTGAGCTGCATAAAAACAAACAAACACTACTGATGGACTCCATCTTGTCCTTCCTGTACATAATGAAGCTCCATGTTAAACACATCTTCCATCAGAGCAGCTGAACACTGTTTTACACTCTTACAACACAAACACTCATCCTGCTCTAACACATCTGCTACATCTGCAGGTGGACACACAAAGTGATGAAGACTCTCTGCTGTCTGAAATCTTCATCTGCTGCTCACTATAGAGCTGCTACCATCATCATCATCATGCTCAGTAAAGTTCAACAAAGTCAGGAGATAAAGTGCAGCTTCATGTAACTCATTCATTTACTGAGTTACTCACTGAAGGACTCATTGAGTTTGCTTTCATGTTGTTTCCATGGCGATGATTGATTCAGGTTTCTGGCTGTATCACTGCAGCATAGAGATGGTTCACAGCTGCTTTGATTTTGAAGCTGCTCTCATTTTCAAAAAGCTACAAACAGTTTGAACTTTGACTTTAAACATTTGATGTCACGTTGTCGTTGTTTTAAGAGCAGCTTTAAACAGGACTGACTTGTCAACACTGAGCTACGTTCTTCTTCTTCTTCACATCATTTCATGATTCTGCTGCAGGTCAAACATGCAAGTTTCCATCAAACATGTGTGCACTCCAACACTCTCCTCTCTGCTGCATGAGCTCAGTCACATGCTCACCTTCATTCACACAACTTACATCAGCTTATTGAATTTAACATGAAATAAATTCATTTCTTCACCTATCAAATCTAAATCAAATTCAACCTTTCTGATGAGAAACTTCTTTACTTTAGATTCTGTTTCATCTGAGATTTATAGAAAATATGAAACTTCACAGCAACAAACAGCTGAACAGGTCAGTGAAACACAGTAGTGTACTGAGCACGTTTCCCTCTGAAATATGACAGAGTCTGAATACATTTACAATATGATCCATGTAGATAAAGTCACAAATATGATGCTGATGACAAACAAATAGCACAAGACAAAATCACCACTTTACAATTTATGGAGCTTCAAATATTTCCATCACTTCTTTTCACAGCACATCTTTTCTTACAGATATTTGACTCATGTGAAGAAAATTTTATTTACCTGAGCTGTGAGATATAAGGCAGACACTGCAGGAAACTCCTCACTTCACTCTCTTCATGTGAGCAGCCTGTCAGCTCCACTTGTTTCTTCTCTGGTTGGAGTTTCAGCACTTCCAGGAGGATGGAGGTCTTTCTCTCTGAGAGGTTTATGAACCAGACAGCAGGAGCTGAAAAAACTGACTGTAATGATGGAAGGACACTCAAGCCTGTTTTAGTCTCATAGTCCTTCATATGGGAGCACATATCCAGCAGGAAGTCACACTGATATTTCTCCAAATCATCATCAATGGCAACAAAAGGGAATGTATCAAATCTGCACACTGATGATAACAGCTCCAGTATCTTCTCTCCTGTCCGCTGTTCTCTCTCTGCTGCTGCACAGAACAGATTCACAAAGAACCTGATTTCTTCATCTGGATCCTCAAAATCAACACTGGAACAATCAGAAGGAAACATTTAGTGATGATTAGATGTGAGCTGCATAAAAACAACCACACACTACTGATGGACTCCATCTTTCCTTCCTGTACATAATGAAGCTCCATGTTAAACACATCTTCCATCAGAGCAGCTGAACACTGTTTTACACTCTTACAACACAAACACTCATCCTGCTCTAACACATCTGCTACATCTGCAGGTGGACACACTGCTGAAGGGGCAGCTGCCGCTTGTTGGCATAATAAGGTCTCTCCCTTTTTAGTGACGCCGGGAACTGGTGAAAGGGGAAGAATCGGCAAGACAGCTGGCTTATCGACAGGAGACTAGCACCAAACCAAAAGAAATACTGCGAAAACACAATAGAAAAAACATAACCTGAACAGTGTGTCTGGTCCGAGTGATGTGTGGGATCACAAACCCATCTCTCTGGGATAATTACATTAATAAACTCTTTTTCAAGAGTTTCAGATTATTTAATTAACTGGTTAAAATCTACTGATCTTCTGATTAATTCCCATTGCAATCTGGAAATATTAAAAATTTAGGTATTAATATCTCTCCTAAACTTGCAGATTTAACTAAATTAAACCACATCCCACTTTTAAATAAAATAAAATGCAATCTGGAGAGATGGAAATCTCTACTCATGTCACTCATTGGAGACTCATTATAACTCCATGGAGGGGCAAATGTAATATGACAAGACTCTGGATTGAATAATGGCTCGATTTCTGATTGGCAGGGCATCCGAGGGGATGTGCGACGCTGGTGTGCATCCTGCCTAGAGTGTGAGCTGGTTAACCAACCAGCCATTCCAAAAGCTCCTTTGACCATTCAGGGAGTTCCTGTTTGAGCACATTAGCATGGACCTCATTGGGCCATTTCACCGAAGTACACACAGATATTACTTTGTATTAGTTCTGGTGGATTATGCAACACAATATCCCGAAGCGGTGCCATTGAGTACCATTTCTGCAAAGAGAGTAGCACAGGTACAATTTCAGGCCATCTCACGTGTCAGTATGCTGAAAGAGATACTGATTGACCAGAGCATGTCTTTCATGTCTTGCGCACTAAAAAAGCTGTACAGCTTACTAGATATTAAATCAGTTTGTGCCAGCATTTACCACCCGCAGACTGATGGGCTGGTGGAGTGCCTGAATAAGGGTTTGAAATCCATGATTCATAAGTTCATTGACGAGAATGAATGCAATTGCTTATTAGACCCTCTGTTGTTTGCAGTGCAAGAGATTCCCGAGGCCTCCACAGGAATTTCTCCCTTTGAGTTACTGTTCGACAGAAAGCCATGGGGGATGTTGGACCTGATTAAAGAAAACTGGGAGGAAGGTCCAAACTCAGCAAAAAATTAGATTCAGTATGTCCTGTACTTGAAAGCAAAGCTGCAGATATTATCACAGGAGAATTAGCTCCAGGGTCACGAACATCAGCAGTCCCTTAGTTTGGCAGGGCTAGACTCAACACATACAGGGAGTGCAGAATTATTAGGCAAGTTGTATTTTTGAGGAATAATTTTATTATTGAACAACAACCATGTTCTCAATGAACCCAAAAAACTCATTAATATCAAAGGTGAATGTTTTTGGAAGTAGTTTTTAGTTTGTTTTTAGTTTTAGCTATTTTAGGGGGATATCTGTGTGTGCAGGTGACTATTACTGTGCATAATTCTTAGGCAACTTAAAAAACAAATATATACCCATTTCAATTATTTATTTTTACCAGTGAAACCAATATAACATCTCCACATTCACAAATATACATTTCTGACATTCAAAAACAAAACAAAAACAAATCAGCGACCAATATAGCCACCTTTCTTTGCAAGGACACTCAAAAGCCTGCCATCCATGGATTCTGTCAGTGTTTTGATATGTTCACCATCAACATTGCGTGCAGCAGCAACCACAGCCTCCCAGACACTGTTCAGAGAGGTGTACTGTTTTCACTCCTTGTAAATCTCACATTGGATGATGGACCACAGGTTCTCAATGGGGTTCAGATCAGGTGAACAAGGAGGCCATGTCATTAGTTTTTCTTCTTTTATACCCTTTCTTGCCAGCCACGCTGTGGAGTACTTGGACGCGTGTGATGGAGCATCGTCCTGCATGAAAATCATGTTTTTCTTGAAGGATGCAGACTTCTTCCTGTACCACTGCTTGAAGAAGGTGTCTTCCAGAAACTGGCAGTAGGACTGGGAGTTGAGCTTGACTCCATCCTCAACCCGAAAATGCCCCACAAGCTCATCTTTGATGATACCAGCCCAAACCAGTACTCCACCTCCACCTTGCTGGCGTCTGAGTCGGACTGGAGCTCTCTGCCCTTTACCAATCCAGCCACGGGCCCATCAAGACTCACTCTCATTTCATCAGTCCATAAAACCTTAGAAAAACCAGTGTGGAGATATTTCTTGGCCCAGTCTTGACGTTTCAGCTTGTGTGTCTTGTTCAGTGGTGGTCGTCTTTCAGCCTTTCTTACCTTGGCCATGTCTCTGAGTATTGCACACCTTGTGCTTTTGGGCACTCCAGTGATGTTGCAGCTCTGAAATATGGCCAAACTGGTTCTCAAGTGGCATCTTGGCAGCTGCACACTTGACTTTTCTCAGTTCATGGGCAGTTATTTTGCGCCTTGGTTTTTCCACCCGCTTCTTGCGACCCTGTTGACTATTTTGAATGAAACGCTTGATTGTTCGATGATCACGCTTCAGAAGCTTTGCAATTTTGAGACTGCTGCATCCCTCTGCGAGATATCTCACTATTTTTGACTTTTCTGAGCCTGTCAAGTCCTTCTTTTGACCCATTTTGCCAAAGGAAAGGACGTTGCCTAATAATTATGCACACCTGATATAGGGTGTTGATGTCATTAGACCACACCCCTTCTCATTACAGAGATGCACATCACCTAATATGCTTAATTGGTAGTAGGCTTTCGAGTCTATACAGCTTGGAGTAAGACAACATGCATGAAGAGGATGATGTGGACAAAATACTCATTTGCCTAATAATTCTGCACTCCCTGTATGCAAAACGCAAGGGTGGCGGGGCTAAACTCAGGCAATTTTCATTGGGAGACAAAGTGCTTGTATTACTCCCTTCTTAAAGTTCAAAGTTACTAACCAAGTGGCAAGGACCCTTGGTGGTCATATTGTCATGGTCCTGGGTCCCAGTGTTTTGAGTTTATTGTTATTATTTTCCAGTTTCTGCTGTTTTGTATTTGTTCTTAGGGTTTGAGTTGTGTGTTTAGTGTTTCTATCATCCCTACGTGTGTTCTTCCTCTGTGTCCTGTTCGTGTCCCCGAGTTGGTATTGTGAAACAGTCTGTGAGTTTCTTGTTTTACTTTGTAAGTTTGTGTCTCATTATGCCCATTAGTTCCAGCTGTGTCCCCTCCTGTCTGCCATTTCCTGATTACCTGGTGTGTGTATTTATACTGCGTTTATACTGCCTGTGCTCCTCGTCGCATCGTGTGTGTTTCTCTGTGAATCTTCTGTGTATTTAGCGTTATCCTGTGTTTCACTGTCTCTCTGCTCCTCGCCCCATGTCTTCCTTTTGTGTTAGTTTTCCCAGTTTAGGTTTATGTTCGGTTCTGCCCACACCTCGGTTATTGTTCACTGCAATTAAAACTCACTTACACCTCTGCCACTGTCTGCTATTTGGATCCTCCTTACTCACCACCACACGACTGCTGCCCCAGTCATGACAGTACGACGTGACCAGCATGGATCCAGCAGACTCACGTTTAGTGTCAGTGGGGAAGTATCTCACGCTGTTGTGGAATTACTATGGGAGGATAATCCACACTGCCGACCCCTACAACAGGCAGCTGGAGCTAGTTTTCTTTGATCATTTCTTGTTGTCCACTGCCTCCACTGTCACTTTCCTGGACATTAATGGACTAAAACGCATAATAACAGCTCTGAGAGCGAGGCTGAACTATGAACTATTTGGCATGGGCGGTCCTGGGAAGGAAGATTCAGCTGCCCTTCTGGAAACCCTCGCCGCTTGGTGTTCTCGGCGCCAGCAGCATTTTTCACCAAGGTTTGTGGCCAAATCTCTCAATCCACTTTTAAAGAAGAAATGCTACCCTTGCCATCATCACCCTACCACACTTCCTCTCACACCTGTGGTATTGACGGGAGCGGTGGCCATTTCCACACCGCAGCAGGAGCAGCCGCAAAAGCGTTCTACCTCCTTTCTTTCAGGCACCCCTGCTTCCTCTTCCACAAGGAAGCAACAATCGCACCGCCGGCGCATCACCCCGAAACCGGAGTTTGGCACTTCAGCGCGCCCGGCTGTGGTGAGTGTACAGGACACTGATAGTGTTATTTCTGACTTTGGGACTTTGTACTCTGGGGCTGAGTGTTTCGTGACAGGGGATAGTACTCCCAGTGATTTCCCCACTTCACCTGCTGCACGTCTGTCAGTGCAATCTGTTCAGCCATCAGTTCAGTTAGCTGCTCAGCAGCCATTAGCTCAGTCAACGCCTCCACCACAATCAACTCCGCTACCGGTAGCTCAGTTTTCAGTTCTGTCAGCCTCTCAGCCACCATCACCACTGGCATCATTACAACCTTTACGGCAGTCCATAGCGCAGTCAGTAGCACAGTTAAGTGCTCAGTCACAGTCTTCGCTTGCCCTTTTTCAGGAGGCTGTGCCTACTCCACACATTTTGGACTGTTTTTCTAGCATTCACCCCAAGCAGAGAGACAAGCATACTAATACTGACATATTTCCTCATGAGCTGGCTAGTTTTCAGACTGTAACTTGCTCCAGGGCCTCCTCAGAGGCTGACTTGCAGCCCTCAGTGGACTCTGGACACTGGAGGCTAAGAAGCCAGATGAGGACTGCACCCGGCTGTTGCTCCCTGAGCAGGGTCAGTGCTCCGCGCAACAGCAGTCTTCCTTATGTGTGCCAGAGGCCCACGTGCCTACTGGTTCTGCGGCAGCTTCCGCTGAGGGGTCCTGTGAGCCTCCTCAGCCTGCTGCTTCCACTAGGGGGACCGAGGAGCCTGTCCAGCCATCGTCTGCCTGCGGCTCCCACGCCGTTGCCTGCGGCGCCACCGCCTGCCTGCGGCTCCCACGCCGTTGCCTGCGGCGCCACCGCCTGCCTGCGGCTCCCACGCCGTTGCCTGCGGCGCCACCGCCTGCCTGCGGCTCCCACGCCGTTGCCTGCGGCGCCACTGCCTGCCTGCGGCGCCGTTTTTTTTTTGTTTTCTTTTATAAAATGTTATAAAAAATAAATCAGTTATAATCAAGTGGAGTGAGTGGAAAGACAACACATTTACACGTGAAGCAATATGTTTCACAACTAAATGGCATCAGCTGCTCATCAATGGTGACATTAGGCCCAGGGTTGTAAAACAGGGGGAGGTGGTGCACACACTTATCCCACACTGTCCTGATGGTAGCTAGCTTGTCTCTCTGCCGTCGAGCTGGTCTGTCGTCTCGGTTATCAAAACGGATAATCCTGGAAATTTTGTGGAAGTTTTCCAGAGACATTGATGCACGGAAAAGTTCTTGCCGGTTTCTGCATCCCACAGGATTCTGTGGATTCCCCTTTGGACCTCAAAACTCCTGCAAGGATAAGAACCCCTTCCACCTCTCTCCAAAAACACACCGTCCTTCTAGATTACTGCAATCCAGAATAATTTTCTGGATGGAATCTGGGATGAAAAGCTCAAATGAAGACTTGATGTCCTGCACATGAGTAACTGTCAGCCGTGTTGGCCCTGGCTTATTACAGTAACAGCTCTGCAGGGTGGCTCATTTATTGGGCAAGAAGACCATTCAATTTCACCAGTTATTGACATCCATATTTCTTCACTTGCTGTCTGGTGGTCTTGTTCTGGTCCTGGAGCTGGCTGCTGATGGGGTACTCGTCTTTGTTTTGTTACTAAATGGTGCTCAACCTCATCCTCTTCTTCAAAGTCACTGTCAGACTCTGAATTTTCAGAAATGTAAAATATTCTGAAACCTCTTTGTCAACATCATCATCCAAAGCCCCTCTCTCTTCCAAAATCAATTGGATGGCCCTCGCAGCAGATAATCTTTTGTCATCTTGATCAGTTGTGATAAAGAACCACACTGGCAAAGTCTTATTTATAGTATTATGCCCCTAATTTGCAGGTGGGACAGGGTATGAGAAAATAAAATTTGGATTCCTCAAGAAAGAGGGTAAAATGTGCGGGAATGTAAGAGCAGACGGTGTTGATAGTTGAATTTTCAACAATGTGGCAACTTTGTGCGGGAGCAGGAGGGGAAGAAAACACTATCAGCAGCACCAGAAAGGAGGAAGACAGAGTGTGGGAACACAGGACCTGCACTTTCAACACTTTTATTAGACCTGGGTCCAGTGGACCCGAACACCTTGTATGTAATGTAAATGCGTGGGGGGGAGGTACAGTATGAGGTCATTGAAAATTAGTTCGGATTTATGTTCTTCACAGAAAATAAGCCAAAGCCAATGAATTTCAGGTTGAAAAAATAATTAATTGTTTAATTTTTCTTTTGAGAAAAACTGAAAACGGGTCTCACAGACCCGAACACCATACAAGGGTTAAAGCATGGAGAGGGGCTGAGGCTGCTCATCTGGTGAGCCTGGTTAAGGAAAGAGATGAGTTGGGGCTGGAGGTGCCAAATTCCACCATTCCAATTTCGCTGCATTGTGACAACCATCCCACACAGGCACAGGGAGCAGATGTTACTGCATTGCAACAACGTTTTGCAGCTGTGTTATCCCCCCTTCCTGGCTATCACGACGCTCATGAAGCACCATTTTGCACCAGCATTAAAAGTCATCTGAGATTTATAGAAAATATGAAACTTCATAGCAACAAACAGCTGAACAAGTCAGTTAAACACAGTGGTGTACTGAGCACGTTTCCCTCTGAAATATGACAGAGTCTGAATACATTTACAATATGATCCATGTAGATAAAGTCACAAATATGATGCTGATGACAAACAAATAGCACAAGACAAAATCATCACTTTACAATTTATGGAGCTTCAAATATTTCCATCACTTCTTTTACAGCACATCTTTTCTTACAGATATTTGACTCATGTGAAGAAGATTTCATTTACCTGAGCTGTGAGATATAAGGCAGACACTGCAGGAAACTCCTCACTTCACTCTCTTCATACGAGCAGCCTGTCAGCTCCACTTGTTTCTTCTCTGGTTGGAGTTTCAGCACTTCCAGGAGGCTGGAGGTCTTTCTCTCTGAGAGGTTTATGGACCAGACTGTAGGAGCTGACTGGAGAACTGACTGTAATGATGGAAGGACACTCAAGCCTGTTTTAGTCTTACAGTCCTTCAAATGGGAGTACAGATCCAGCAGGAAGTCTGATTGATATTTCTTCATATCGTCATTCATGTATGCATCATCAAAAGGGAATGTTTGATATGTGCACACTGATGATAACAGCTCCAGTATCTTCTCTCCTGTCTGCTGTTCTCTCTCTGCTGCTGCACAGAACAGATTTACAAAGAACTTGATTTTTTCTTTGTGTGACCAACAAGCATCAACACTGGAACGATAAGAAGGAAACATTTAATGATGATTAGATCTAAGGTGCAGAAATACAACCACACACTCACTATAGAGCTGCTACCATCATCATCATCATGCTCAGTAAAGTTCAACAAAGTCAGGAGATAAAGTGCAGCTTCATGTAACTCGTTCATTTACTGAGTTACTCACTGAAGGACTCATTGAGTTTGCTTTCATGTTGTTTCCATGGCGATGATTGATTCAGGTTTCTGACTGTATCACTGCAGCATAGAGATGGTTCACAGCTGCTTTGATTTTGAAGCTGCTCTCATTTTCAAAAAGCCACAAACAGCTTGAACTTTGACTTTAAACATTTGATGTCACGTTGTTGTTGTGTTAAGAGCAGCTTTAAACAGGACTGACTTGTCAGCACTGAGCTACGTTCTTCTTCTTCTTCACATCATTTCATGATTCTGCTGCAGGTCAAACATGCAAGTTTCCATCAAACATGTGTGCACTCCAACACTCTCCTCTCTGCTGCATGAGCTCAGTCACATGCTCACCTTCATTCACACAACTTATATCAGCTTATTGAATTTAACATGAAATCAATTCATTTCTTCACCTATCAAATCTAAATCAAATTCAACCTTTCTGATGAGAAACTTCTTTACTTTAGATCCTGTTTCATCTGAGATTTATAGAAAATATGAAACTTCACAGCAACAAACAGCTGAACAGGTCAGTGAAACACAGTAGTGTACTGAGCACGTTTCCCTCTGAAATATGACAGAGTCTGAATACATTTACAATATGATCCATGTAGATAAAGTCACAAATATGATGCTGATGACAAACAAATAGCACAAGACAAAATCACCACTTTACAATTTATGGAGCTTCAAATATTTCCATCACTTCTTTTACAGCACATCTTTTCTTACAGATATTTGACTCATGTGAAGAAAATTTCATTTACCTGAGCTGTGAGATATAAGGCAGACACTGCAGGAAACTCCTAAGTTTACTCTTTTTATGAGTGTACTGTGTCAGCTCCACTTGTTTCTTCTCTGGTTGGAGTTTCAGCACTTCCAGGAGGATGGAGGTCTTTCTCTCTGAGAGGTTTATGGACCAGACAGCAGGAGCTGAAAAAACTGACTGTAATGATGGAAGGACACTCAAGCCTGTTTTAGTCTCATAGTTCTTCATATGGGAGCACAGATCCAACAGGAAGTCTGGTTGATATTTCTTCACATCGTCATTCATGTATGCATCATCAAAAGGGAATGTTTGATATGTGCACACTGATGATAACAGCTCCAGTATCTTTTCTCCTGTCTGCTGTTCTCTCTCTGCTGCTGCACAGAACAGATTCTCAAAGAACCTGATTCTGTCTTCATCTGATGTCTTTGTATCAACACTGGAACAATAACAGGGAAAAATTCAGTGATGAACACATCTTCCATCAGAGCAGCTGAACACTGTTTTACACTCTTACTACACAAACACTCATCCTGCTCTAACACATCTTCTACATCTGCAGGTGGACACACAAAGTGATGAAGACTATTGCCTGAAATTTTCATCTGCTGCTCACTATAGAGCTGCTACCATCATCATCATGCTCAATGTTTTGTTCCCTCTGCTGCTCTATTGATGAGATTCATCAAGAGATCAGAAAAATCTTTAAAGTCAGAGTTTTAATTCAATGTAATAATTTCTGAATGACACATTCGAAGTTAAAGACAGATGAAATATAGATGTGGGCATAAGTAGATTAATATGCATATAAGCAGTATACCTGAGTGAGTGGATGTTGGGTAAAAACTGTAAGAGAAACTCGCTGACAGATTGGTCAACGGAACTTCTGTGATCCCAGTGGAGGCAGACTTTAACCTTCTCTGCACTTTTCTGCAGGACTTTTCCAGCACGGTCATAGAGTTGTGGCTGACTGTTTACTGAAAGGTGCAGCTGGTTCTCAGCAAAGCAAAGTAAGCTGATGTAATCCACCTCCACCTCGCTGAGAAGACAAATGGTCCAAAGCTGCCATGATAACTGGAAACTGGAAATTTATTGGAGAGCTTCATATTAATTGACAAGTAATGAGAAGTTAACAACCATCAAGTCTCTTGATGGTTGTTAACAACTGTTTTAAAAGAAATTGTTTTAAAACAAAAAAAAGCCAAGAAAATAATAGTCCACAAAATAGGTAAGTATGTTTGTTATTGCCTAAACTGAATTAAAATGTTTGCTTTTTTCATTCTAGTTTCCACATCTCAACACCAAGACTCAACTGCAAGAGTCTGCATAGACAACTCAGATTCACCACAAGTGTGCTGTTAACATGTACAGGCAGGGGTGTCCAAATCCAGGCCTCGAGGGCTGGTGTCCTGCAAGTTTTACATGTGCCCTTGATCCAACACAGCTGATTTTAATGGCTAATTTCCTCCTCAACATGTCTTTAAGTTCTCCAGGCCTGGTAATGAATGAATCATTTGATTCAGGTGTGTTGACCCAGGGTGATATCTAAAACCTGCAGGATACTGGCCCTTGAGGCCTGAAGTTGGACTCCCCTAGGGTACAGACTAATGCACAGAACTTTAGTTTGTACTTTGTAATTTTTGCTTACCCTTAGTTTGACCACTGACTTAAAAATCTGCAATCTTGTGTTATGATCCTTGGTCTTTTTTTTTCTTTTTTTTTTTAGGCACACTAACATATTTAATGTATCAATAGTTGATTATTTTTTCACAGAGGTTAAAAAATTATTCTTAATATTATTATCCTGATATCACTTCAAAGTTTCCCCCAAGTTCTTATGCTCATCTTAGGCAACCATCTTATAAAAAACTGTTTAAGTTTAATTTTTATTATTTGGGGAACAACGAGACAACTTTTAAAAGAGGAATAGTTTTACAAGTGGAGCTCACTTACTTTTTTCTCCTCCTTATCTTTTCTGTCAATCTTTTCACTAACTCTGCATTTGGATAGGGTCAGTGTCACTACGGGTAGCATGAGGAGATACCTGGAACCTGCAAAGGTTGCACAGATAGTCTAGCCTCTCCAGGATTGCACATCAATATGTGCCATTCCCAAAAGGTTTTCTGTGTCTCCCAGGCGAGTCCCAAGTTCACAGAGAAGATTCCAAGAGTTAGGTAGTTACCTAGGAGAGCTGGACAGGACCCTAGAAGGTCCTTAACCCATCTGCAGGACTGGAATCTGCTCCTTTTTGCAAGGAGAAACAGGATGGAGACTGCTAGTGCCCTAGATAAATAACCTCCACCAGGGCCCTGGAGGGAATGTCTCTGACCAAACAAACAATCAGAAATAGACCTCAGGGCCTGAAATCATCTAGTGGGCCTCACTGCCTGGCACCAAGGACCCAATTGCCATCTGCTACTGGTGCCCTGTTATTTTCAAAGATGGGAGCAGTATCACCCTGAGCACATATGACAAACATGAAGGGGTCTGGAGAAGCTGTGGAGAACATTATGCTGTTTGCAACTTCGTTCAGAATGACCAGTTTGGTGGTGGGTCAGAAATGATCTGCACAACCCTCTACAGGCTAGGCAACTACACCCTGACTACCACAAGGTATCAGGATGAAACTCCTGAACCTGGGTCCTGGGCTCCTCCTTCTGTACGACAATGTCCAGTTTCATGTGGCAAAAGCATGCAGGTAGATCCTGGAGGATGAAGAAATTGATACTATTGACTGGCCCCTGACTTGTTCGACCTAAATCTAATAGAACATCACTGAGACATTATGCTTTGGGGCATCCAGCGTCACCAGATAAGAGTTTGACCATCACTTTGTTTTGTCAACATCAGCTCAAGTGTGAAGCAAGGTGGTAGCACTATGATGATTGCTAATGGTTTAAGTTTTAAAAAAGGCAACATGAATGTGTGAATTTATTACATTTTACATTTTAAATGAAAATCTCAGATACACATATGTCTTTTATATGGAGAGTGATGCAAAGTATTTGTACTTTGGAAGTTCTGACAAAAATGAAGAAAATACTAAAGGCATTGGAATGACAATGGCAAAAAAAGAAGCATGGAGACCTTCAGACAGCAAGTTAATTTAAGTAGATTTTATGTGACCTTTAGCTTATATTCATAAAATTAAGGACTGATTTTAGCTGGTCTACCTCAGAGAATGTTTTCTAGTATTAAAAGCAGAGATGGGCAGTAACGTGTTACTTGTAACTTACTTGTAACGCGTTACTGTAATCCGATTACTTTTTTCAAGTAACGAGTAAAGTAAGGGATTACTATTGCAAAAACGGTAATTAGATTACCGTTACTTTCCTGTAGGAACGCTGCATTACTGCGTTACTAAAACCCTGATTTTTTGCGAGAATGTTTCTGAATTGGACATGTGTGTGCTTAATAGACTGGCAAATTACAGCAGGATTTTCCTATCCTCGGTCAGAAGGCACAGGTGACTTATATGATGAAAGAGAGGGTCCACAGCAATGATAATTAGGGTTCTTTTAATCCAAACATCTCCAGAAGTGAATTCGTGTGAGTATATGTATGTGTGTGTGTGGTTCTGTAAAATAACAGAAATTACAATTAGCAAACAATTAAAGTCAACCAAACTGGTTTAAATAATACAGAAAGGGTTGAACAGAAATGACTAAACACCACCCCCTGGTGGACACAAATGGGCTGCTGCACAGGGATAGACTCCATCTTTACTTTGGGCAGCTCAGTTCACAAGGGTAGCACCATTTTGGTCAAATCAACGTGAATATACAGTGTCTCGTGGCTACACAAACCGCTGGAAAACTCTATAAAGGCATCACACAATGTAGATAGGCAAGTGTATGATAAGTTACAACCATAGAACAAACAAATACAAGGCACTTACTTATCATTCACGCACACGCACGACACATGTTCAGTACAACAGCCCAGCTAGAACTAAAAATGACAAAAACTGAAATAGTGGAAACTTGTTCGCGGTCTGAGGAGCTCAGCATTTAGTACTTTTTTTTTTTCTTCTTTTTCTCACGTGGTGAGTGATATTCTGTCTATAGTTCATGTTGAATGTTAACATTTGTTTTGGTTCTTTAAATGTTAGGGGTTTAAGAGAATCTGTTAAAAGAAAAGCCTTATTTTTGTACTGCAAAGGTAAAAAATCAAACTGTATTTTTCTACAAGAGACTCATTCATCTGATAGTGATGTATCTTTTTGGTCAAACCAATGGGGTAGCAAAATCCTGTTTAGCCATGGCTCAATGAGGTCGGGGGGTGTAGCAATTTTATTCAATAACTTTCCCGGGGATCTTGTAATACAACGAACTGACTTGAATGGTCATTGGTTGATTGCTGTAATGAGAGTTGAAAGTTTGTTTTTCATTTTAGTCAACGTTTATGGATATAACAATGAAAGTCAGAATAAAATTATGTTAGAAGATATAACTTCAAATATTTTTGAACTTAAAGGTCGATACCCTACAGAATACATTTTAATGGGTGGTGATTGGAATATGACTCCTGATGAATGGACTGATAGATGGCCCTCAAGGACAGGTAGACCACAAAAAAATAACCTAATTATAGAATTTTTGATTAATAACAACTTGACAGATATTTGGAGAGTAAGAAATCCAGAAATTAAGAGCTTTTCCTGGTTTAAACCAAATGGAGCTTGTAAATCTAGAATAGACTATTGGCTAGGAAGTGACATCATTCTTAGCCACACTGTAAAAGTTGCAATGTCAAATGCACCTCTATCTGATCATTGCTTTATTGAACTGTGCTTAGAATCGGAAATTAGACAATCAAATAAAAGAACTTATTGGAAGTTCAATGCCAAACTTTTACAAAATGAAGACTACTGCAACATAGTCAAAAAAATTATAAAAGATATTATGGCTGATCATCTAATTGTAGGATATATCAATAAATGGGAATTCATTAAATTCAAAATTAGAGAATTTAGTATTCAATTCAGTAAAAACATAAGTCAAAAGCAAAGAGAATATGAATGTAAATCATTCCAAGAAATTACTTATTGCTGTAGTAAAGATGATCTAAATACCCAAGAAAGGAGTAAACTTATGGAGTTGCAAATTAATTAGATCAGCTCTACCTAAATAAAGCAGAAGGAGCTTTTGTGCGTTCACGGGCCAAGTGGATTGAGGAGGGGGAAAGAAATTCTTCATATTTTTTTAATTTAGAAAAGAGCAGACAGAAAAGAAATTTTATATCTTCTCTGTTAATTGATGGCATTGAATGTGACGACCCTAAAATTTTGGAGAATGAAACTTATACATTCTATTCCAATTTATACTCCTCACAGTTCTCCCAAGCAGATTGTGATGTCTTTTTTGATCAAATAGATAATCTGATCCCTAAAATTGATGAATCATTTAAGGAATTATGTGAATCTGACTTCAGAATTGAAGAGTTAGATGCATCTGTTAAGAAAATGGCACTTAATAAATCCCCTGGTCCAGATGGGCTTACAGTTAATTTCTTCCAATTTTTTTGGGAAGACTTACGGGAAATTTTATTCAAAGCTATACTGGCCAGTATTGAAAAGGGAGAATTGATGTCTAGCATGAAACAAGGATTAATTACATTAATTCCTAAACCAAACAAAGATAAACGACAATTGGATAACTTAAGGCCCATAACTTTATTAAATACAGATTATAAAATTTTCTCTAGCTCAGTTGCAACAAGGCTCAAACAAGGGGTTTCAAGTATAATTAGTGAGACACAATCAGGGTTTTTGAAAGACAGGAACATTCATAATAATATCAGATTGGTTTTAGACTTACTGGACTACAATGATCTGATTAGTGATGACAGTTTTATTCTTTTCTTGGACTTTTATAAAGCTTTCGATTCAGTAGAACATCCTTTTATTTTAGAAACACTAACTCGATTTGGATTTGGGGATAAATTTAGGAAGATAATAGATATACTGTATAATGATATAAATAGCTCTGTGTCATTAGGCTATGGCACTGGTAAAAGATTTAGCGTCAAAAGAGGAATTAGGCAAGGGTGTGGAAGCTCTCCGTTGTTGTTCATAATGGTTGTGGAGATGCTCGCAATTCTAATTAAAAACAGCAGCGTTGCCGGAATTGAGATTATGGACAATTCTTTAATAATTAGTCAACTTGCGGATGACACTACTCTTTTCTTAAAAAATGAACATCAGATTCCCCTGGTAAAACAAATAATCACTACATTCTCAAAAGCTTCAGGCTTAAAGTTAAATTTAAATAAATGTGAATTATTGGCATTAAAGGAGTGTAATTCACAATTACTGTACGATATAAAGGTGAAGAAGGAGGTAAAATATTTGGGCATCACAATTTCAAAAGATCACAAAGTCTTAGAAAAAGTAAATATTTTAGATAATGTTGACAAATGTAAGACAATCCTAAATAAGTGGTTACAAAGAGACATCACAATTTTTGGAAGAATATTATTAACCAAAATGGATAGTTTATCTAGATTTATATATCCAGCTTACTCTCTATCAATATCGAATAAAGTTATTAAAACAATTAATAGCTTGAATTTTAATTTTATTTGGAGGAATAAGTGCCATTATATATCTAAAGATGATTTGGTTAAACCATACATTGAAGGCGGTGGAAACGCAATTGATTTTGACATAATGAATGGTGTTTTGAAACTTAAATGGTTAAAATCCTTCCTAAATAATCCACACTCCATTTGGTTTTTTATACCAAGTAAGGTCTTTAACACACTGGGGGGTATCGACTTTCTCCTAAAGTGTGACTTTGAAATTACTAAGCTACCTGCTAAACTCTCTGAATTCCATAAACAGGTCCTTCTTTATTGGAAAATGTTATTTAAACATAATTTCACTCCACATAATAGCCCAATTTGGAACAATAGATATATACTGATGAACAGAAAATCTATTTTTATTCAAGATTGGTTATCAAAAGGTGTTTGGGCAATTGCCCATTTTGTAGATGAGGAAGGACATGTTCTAGGACATCAAGATTTTTGCCAAAAGTTTAATATCCAATGTTCTAAAAGTAAATTTAATCGGGTTATAAAATCCATTCCATTGTCACTTAAAAACATAGTTGTAAATGATATAATATATTCTGACATCTCCCCCAAGTTAAGGCAATTATATATAGATGGTATTCGATTTTGTGATGTTAAATGCAACAATAAGTTTCTTAGATCTTCATTAAGGAGTCTTTATTCTCCAAATTTACTTAGACTTAATTACATATTAAAAGATTTCCAAAGGGAAGAAATTGAAAAAATAAGAACTGATTATATCACCTTCCCTATCCCTCCTAAAGGGAAAGAAGTCCAATTTAAAATCTTGAATAAAATTTACCCGACAAATAGACTCCTTAGTGATAGATTCAAAATAGAAACGGGTAATTGTGTATTTTGTGAAACAGAAGAGGAGGATTTGGACCATCTATTCTTTTTGTGCAATTTTATACAAATATTTTGGTTGGATTTTCATACCTGGCTTTATTCCAGTGGGATTCAAATTACCCCATTTACCTTAAATATGATAATGTTTGGAGTGTTTTTGAAAGAAAAGAAAGCTAATTATGGTGTTAATGTGTTATTAATCTTGTGTAAGTATTTTATACATAAATGTCGCTTTTTTAAGATTAAACCAACACTGGCTCACTGGAAAAACGACCTAAACCTGTTGGTTAAATCTTTGACTTTAGTTAAAAAGAAAAAGGCTGCTTTTTTTGTTTCCTTTGTAGAAGATTTTGATTTAGTGAGTTAATAATCTGTTAATTTATGTGACCCCATCTTTATATTTTATTTTCACTATATATGAAAGTTGCTAATATGTAAGAAATGTTTATTCTCTGAATCTGTAATATATGGTGCATTTTGTTTGTATGTTTATATTACTAATAAAAGAAAAAAAACAAAAACAAAAAAAAAACAAAAACAAAGGATGGGAGGAATGTACCATCTTAGCAGTGGTTAGAGGGGGTCCGTGGAACAGTCTATATACACAAATCACAGGGGTTTTCTACAGTCTCATGACAGTGACGTAAGCAAGTGCGACGTTCGTGACAACAGCTGTGTGCAGATCAACAATGGATAATATATCGAGTGCGGGAGAGAGTATGACCGTGCAGCGTTTAAAGCGTGGAAGTACTGACCTTATTTTAAGTTTGATTCCATAAAAAGTGACAAAAACATTAGCGTCCATCGTGCGTGGGAAGAAAACTTCTTTTTACAGCGAAAAAAAACCCCTAAACTTCCAAGCAAGCACCGAGTGCGCTACGACGTAATGGGAAACTCACAGAGAAACTCGCGGATTCTTCCACTGACTGCTGCGGCACACCTGCACCAGGGACCGCTAGTCTTTGACATTATTTATTTTCTGCTGTGTTTTACTTGCATCTATTTGAAAGAGTGAGTGTAAACAAAAAAATTATTTTACGTGCTGGAATGTGCAGAAAATAGGTTTAAATGTTAAACTAATTTCTTCCAGTCAGAGAATGTTGCATATAATTAAATATTTGCTTGATGCATAAAGTTAAAAGATTAAAACTAATAAAACAAGTTTTAAAAAGAGACTTTTCCATTTGATTACATTTTGTATGATGGATTATGTAGAAAAAGTAGAATTGGGCTGAAAGATCTATCGCTTTATCACCTATTCAGGTTGTAAATCGTGTTTTTAAAAAGTAACTAAGTAACTAAGTAATTAATTACTTTTGAAAAGAAGTAATCAGTAAAGTAACGGGATTACTTTTTTGGGGAAGAAATCAGTTATTAGTTACTGATTACTTTTTTCAAGTAACTTGACCAACACTGATTAAAAGTCAGAAAATGTCAAAAAGTCTACAGATATTTAGATTAAACAAACACGTAAACTATATGTTCTTACTTACCTTGAGAGTTTGCTCAGGCATCCTAGTAATGGTCTTATTCCTTGTTTTGATACTTTTGTCTTTTCCAAGTTCAGCTGTATTTTCCTCTCCTTACTCTGGCTGATTATATAGGACACAGCATAGCATTGCTGAGGATCGAGAGTCTCCCCACTCAGATCAAGACAGTAGTCCAGTTTATCCAGAAGATAAACACAGGCTTCAGCAGACTGAGACTCATAGAGACACTGACATAAGAACAGCAAGTCTATTTCACAGTCCTCAGTGTCACTACAATCTACAAAGGTGGTCACCAAGTGTTTGAAGAACCAGCCAGATGTTTCTCTGAGCTGCTGAGAAGGAATCAGACTTTCTAGCAAATCAGTGTTTTTATCATTTAACAGTCCACACAAAAAGGGGACTAAGTGTTTCATGTGTTTGATGTTGTCAGTCAGACACTGTTGGACAACACTTCTGGTCCGTTCTGGATCCTTCAAGACCCACAGTGCTGCAAAAAACTCTTGAACAGTGTAGTGGAGAAAGGCACACAAGGGTTTCTTTGCAGTTGAGCTGACTTGAGATACACTCCTGCTCAAAAAAGCTAAATAAGCACAGCTTTCTAATTTGGGCAGTGATTTCAGGTTCACATTTTTTCCTTCTGTTGCACAAAAAGCAGCCTCAGATAAAGACAGTACTGCATCCCATTTAGTGCTTTCATTTTCAGATGTCTTGCCAACATTTCTCTGAATGCAGAAATGGAGGATATTGAGGTATATTTCTGTAACTGTGCAGGGATGTGGAGAGAACTCTGAGCCCTCAAAACTAAAGCAGGCAACCACCATCAGAGCGTACATGGGGACGTGGCACAGAGAGAATAATTCCAAGTTACACAAAACTTTGTTGAAGTGTTCCTCACTCAGATACTTGGATAAGTATTCTCTGATGCCCTGCTCACTGAAGCCTTTCACTTCCACTCTGAGACAGTCCCAACCTAACAGGAAGTCTGCTGACTCCACCTCTGGTCTGCAGGTGATGATGATCTTTGCTTCAGGTAGAAGAGTCTTCTGTATGAGCTTAAACACCACAGAAGTAGAGGGGATATCTGTAACGCCATCAAAAATGATAGTAACATTGTCAGCATTATTCTTTATGTCCTCTAAGACTTTGTCTTTGCCTTCATCTGGTTCATTGAACACACTGAAGAGAAGATCCTCCAGTTTATGGACCTCTGTGATGTTGGGTGTTTCTCTCATATCAAAGTAGAACATGTAATCTAGATCCTTGTTGTCTTTCTCTGACCATAGTTTCAACATCTGATGGACCACAGCCGTTTTCCCAGTTCCAGGTTTTCCTACCAAAAGGATTTTTCTTTCATACGTTTTCAGCAGTTCACTGGGAGAGGTTCCATGTTTGTCCTCAGGTATGTAGGCCTTGAGTTTTTTAGTGCGAACCTTCCTGCTTTTCTTGATCTTTGACTTTTTTATTTTGGATGCTGAAGCCTGTCCTTGTGTGTCTAACACAAGTGAAGTGTAGGACAAAGACGTCTCCTTGTTTAACAAGACTGCTTTACTTTGGATCCATGATCTTTCTGAAATCTTCTGAGTTTCTGATTTCAACTTTTGCTGGTATCTGTGACACGGGCTGGGCCCTGAAAGAAAGGAGAAATTAATTAAAAAGTAATTTAGTGATTTAACTCATGTGTCACTGAACAACACTGCATTTTAAATGAGTGTGATCACATTAAAACATGCCACGGACTTCAGTTTGTTTAAAAATACCTTGTAAATACGTTACATCCATGTTGGTGTCATCCTTGAAGGAAAAGCAGCTGATCCAATAGTTCAGGTCAAATTCGTCTTTCAAAGAAGAGTCTGTCTCTGTATTTTCCAAAACAGACTGAGCTTTCTGTGGATCTCTTTATTATGTCAATAATCCTGAGAAACTCATAGCAGGCTGCTTCCCCCTTTTTTATGACAGAGTCCACAGTTCTTCTCCTTTTGTCAAAGTCGTCACCCGCTGTCTTTATTTTACTGACTTCTTCCTCTGAGAAAACTTCTTTCTGGTAGAGATTCTCCACAATCACAGCAGTGAGCCTCTTTAATGTTCTCACCAGGTTGAGTCTGGCCCTCCTGACAAACTCCACTGCTGACTGAGATGTACAAGCTATGTTTCCTTTATTTCCTGGATTTCAGTAACTTCTGTTGAAAAAATAAATAAATATGAATTTAAACAAAATATATTTCACTTCAAAGATTCAGACTATTAAATATAAAGCATGCCAAAAGAAATAGACTTGATCTCCACCCAACACTAATTTATCTTAGATTGACGTCCCACTGATCACATCCTGTGTCAAACAAGCTGGTTTAAAGGAGGGGGGGGGGACTAAAACTGCATTTAAAACAAACAAACACACACACACACACACACACACAAACACACACACACACACACACACACACCTGCTTAATTTTAAATTATTAATTAAGAACGACTGCAGAATTTTCTTTTCCACAGTTTTATTTGATGCTTAATTATTGAGCCACAGTTTTATTTTTGATGTTGCTTTTGATCCTAGCACTGCTCGGCTTTGTTTTAAATTGATGTGTCAAGTGTATTTATAATTTATCCTCAGGTTTTGACTTTTTTCCCCTGTGTCTATTGATTTTATATTCTTTGTTCATTGCATGTTTTTTTTTTTTTTTGCAAATAAACTTGCAACTCTGGTTTTTAAAGTGCTATGCATTTTCCCATTTTACATCCTCACTACTTACTCAGCACACTGCGAGTCTTAGTGACTTGAGTAGTAATATCTTTAAACGATTATTTATTAATTCACTCATTTATTTGTTCTGGACTGTTAACAGCTCAGCCATTCTTCAGCAAGATCTACACTGATGTTGGAAACTTACTCCAAATCTATGCCATACATATTTTTTTTTAATGAACCATATTCATCGCAACTGTTTTTTAAACCTTTTATGCTTTAAGCTGAATTTATATTAACTCCATTTTACAATCAGCCAGTTAAGAATATCTGGTTTCTTAAAAGATTCAAGATTCTTTATTTGTCACATGCATAGTTATACGAGTACAACACGCAGTGAAATGAAATGTTTCCTGAAATGCTCTTCAACTATGCATAAAGAGGACATTATATACAGTAAGTAGTGAATTATATACATTAAGTTCTGGTTTAGGACTTGGATGGCCTGAGGGTAGAAGCTCCTCTTGAGCCTCCCCGTTTTTGCTCGGATGGTGCAGACGGAATCTTCTGCCTGATTGCAGAAGTTGGAACAGTTTGTTGCTGGGATGGGATGGGTCCTTTAATATCTGAACTGCTCTGGACCAACATCTCCTGGTGTAAATGTCTTGTAGGGATGGGAGAGCATTGCCGCATTGATCACTCTCTGAAGAACTTTTTGGTCCTTAACACAGCTATTCACATACCAGGATGTGATCGTCTGTGTGAGGATGCTCTCCACAGTACCTGCATAGAAAATCCTGTAGATCACTGGAGAGACCCCGAACTTCCTCAGTTGTCAAAGATGGTACAGGCGCTGCCTAGCCTTTTTGGACTGGACCTGAAAGGTAATGGAGAAATGGTAAATGGTAAATGGCCTGTATTTGTATAGCGCTTTACTAGTCCCTAAGGACCCCAAAGCGCTTTACACAGTCATCCACCCATTCACACACACACTGGTGATAGCAAGCTACATTGTAGCCACAGCCACCCTGGGGCGCACTGACAGAGGTGAGGCTGCCGGACACTGGCGCCACCGGGCCCTCTGACCACCACCAGTAGGCGGTGGGTGAAGTGTCTTGCCCAAGGACACAACGACCGAGACTGTCCAAGCCGGGGCTCGAACCAGCAACCTTCCGATTACAAGGCGAACTCCCAACTCTTGAGCCACCATCGAGAAGATGAGAGTTCTGTAAGTTAGGTACATGTAAACAGTTGTGCCTGAAACAAGTGACTACAAGGCTTTAGTAAACGAGAAGCAGCTATACTCCCCGTGTGTGGTTCAGTGATTCCATTTTTGTTTTTTGAAGATGCAACATTATTTTGGCGATGAGGACATTTAGGGGGAAGGAAGTGGGCAATCGGACACACACACAAAAAAAGAACAAAGTGATGGGAGTCAGCTACAGATTTCGCTAGCTTTCAATGAATGCAAGAGTTTTCCACTGAAAATAGAAGGCAGTAATTTGAAGCGGAAAATGGCTATAATTGGCATGGTAGTAGCGTTCGATCCAAAGAATCAGACTTGGGATGAGCATATGGAAATACTCAAGCAGTTTTTCCACAGCTAACTGGATCAAGCAGAAAAGCAAAGAGCTATATTAATAAGTGTCGTCGGAGCAGCGACCTACAGCTTGATGTGAAATCTTCTCAGCCTGGCCAAGCTGAAAGACAAAACCTTCCAAGAGCTGGTACTTCTGAAGAAAAATCCCTTTGATCCAGAGCCCAGTGAAACTGTGCAAAGGTATAAATTCGACGATCGCTTCCGCAAGCCATATGAAACTGTCATAGAATATGTAGCGGAGCTGCGTCACCTGGCACAAGATTGTAACTGTGGCAACACATGTTGAGAGATAGGATTGTCTGCAGAATTAGGGATGATTGAATTCAGAGTGTCTCTTGGCATAGAGATGCAAATATGCGGCTTTTCAGGGGTCTTGTCTTGACGAAGTTTACCATGCACACAACATCATCCAACACAGGAGCTAGGTCTGCTGGTAAAGTCTTGGTAACGAGCGCCTCATGCTGCAGAAAACAGTACGTAACAATAACATCTGGGTGTACCGCTTTCACTCTGCTAACGAAACCTTTGGTGCACCCAACCACAGTTGCTGCTCCATCAATGCAGACACTCAGTTTTTCCACTTAATTCCTCCTTGTTCAAGATATTCAGGTGTAACCCAAAAACTTTCCTCTCCTGTTGTTTTTTCTGGTAGTACCTTGCAAAATAGAAAGTCTTCTCTGATAGAGTCTCCATCCACAAAACACACATTGGCCAAGAGTTGGAAATGTCCACTTATGTCCGTAGACTCAACAAGTTGCACTGCAAACTTCTCCAAAACCAAACTTTCAATGTCTGCAGACATGTCATCGATACGTCTGGCAATTGTGTTATCTGAGAGCGGGACTCTGGCTATTTCTTTAACTGCATCAGGGTCAAGCATCTCACTCACAATTGCTTTGCAGGTAGGTAGGATTAAAGTCTCTGCTACTGTGTGTCGTTTTTTGGATTTGGCTATAAGTTCAGCTACTAAGTAGCTAGCTTTGAGAGCTCTTTCAGACACCTTTGTGTTTTTTTCTCATTAAAGTTAGCCATTTCTCAGTGTCTTCACACAGGCGAACAAAATAGTCTGTGTTCTTCTTTTGAAGTGGGGAATGTTTTGTGTGGAGATAACGTTAAAGCTTGCATGGGACCATTACACTGTTTGAGAGCTTTTCCTCACACACCAAACATAACGGAGTCGGTGCAGTCAGATCTCCAGTGAAAGTAAATCGAAACGAAAGATAACTTTTGCTGTATTGCTTCAAGCTCACCGATTTAGCTTTCTTGTGACTACCACTCATACTAGGCTCTTCTGAGTTACAAATTTTGTCCAGGGCCCAGTTCGGAGTTTGCAGGATTTTTTTTCAAATATTTATCCATCTTTGTTGTACGTCTTGCAACTGCCACGTACCACACGCATCACTATTTCTATTGTCTTAACTTAACAAGGTCATATTGTGCTACTCACTGCCACCCACTGGCATGAAAGAGTAATTACTCTACCAGTCACTGCATTGAAAGCACAGATGCCCAACAACAATTTTATTATTTGCAGTGTTATGTGCGTGTGTTGTTTGTTTCTGAATGAATGTATGGGGGCTCGGCTGTGACTGGTGGACGGAAGGAACGGCTTGATGTAACTGGCTCCCGTTGTGGATGTAATCAATAAAAGGACGACAGAAGAAACTGTGGAAAACTTCCCGTGCACTTCCCTCAGGTCCAGACGGAGCAGCCGCAGCCATAGCTAATTAGTTAAATTCGGGAATGTGTGTGAAGTGTGGAGCAAGTAGGGTGAGCTGCCAATTATTTTGGGAAGCTTTATTTTCTCCTGTGTTGTTAGACCAGGGAGGTCAGACTGTGTCATTTCTTTTGTTGTTTTCTTGAAGAAGTCAAAGGGGAACCAAATTCTAGGTTGGGTTTTGTTTGTTGTGTTGGCCTGAAATCATACACTCCCACTATCGTTGTACTGAGTGCCATTGCCGTAAATAAATTATTGTTAAAAGCCCGATGATGCAGCTGTGTCTGTTTGGGCATGGGAAGTCACGGGACACCCCGCTCTCGTTACGGTCATTCCGAGCCAGATCGTAACATGATTTGGGGGCTCATCCGTTTTGTCTTGTTTTTTGGCTGGTTTTGTGGTCTGTAGTTTGTTGTCAGCCTATCTTTCATGCGTGTGGAGGGGAAGTGAAGGATGAATGTTTGAGGATGGAGTTTTCTTTAGATGATTTTGTTACCTTGCCTTCCTGGGATAAGATAGAGCAGATCGGACTATCCACTCTGTGTTGATCTGCCTGCAGCAAGACTGCCCCCGCTGCAGTTGCGCTGGCGTCAACCTCCAACTTAAAAGGAGATACAAAGTTAGGTGCTGCTAAAACTGGGGCACTGCACAATAAAGTCTTCACCGACTTAAAAGCAGTTTGGCACGCCGTAGTCCATATGAAGGGTTTGGTCGGGCTGACCAGGTCAGTCAGGGGAGCGACTACGGAGGTAAAATTTTTACAGAAACCTCGGTAGTAGCCACACATTCCTAAGAAGCGGCGTAACGCCCTCCTTGTTTGTGGAATCGGAAACAAAATAATACCCTCTACCTTCGCGGTCACGGGGCACACTCGCCCTTGACCCACCTGCTTTCCAAGGTAGGTGATGGTTGCTTTTCAAACTCACATTTGGTCATATTTACGGTGAGCAATGTTTCCTCAAAACATTTAAAAACAGTTAAGAGGGTTTGGAGATGATCACTCCAGGAAGCAGAATATATGACCACATCATCTAAGTAGGCATCAGAGTTAGGTACCCCGACCAAAACCTTAGGCATCAGGTGCTGAAATCTGGCACATTACGCAAGCCGAAGGGCATCACTGTATACTGAAGGAAGTGATCAGGGTAATGAATGTTGAGATCTCAGACGCTCTAGCAGTTAAAAGAACCTGCCAGTCTCCCTTTCATCAATCCAATTTGGTCACATAAGTAGCGGATCCAACCTGATCAACACAGTCATCCATCCAAGGTAATGGGAAAGAGTCGGCTTTAGTGGCCGCATTTACCTTTCGATAATCCGTACAGAATCGAGGAGTATTGTCAGACTTTGGCACTAACACACATGGAGAGCTCCATGCGCTAGCACTTGGAACGGCTAAGCCGTGCTCTCGGAGAGAATTGACTTCTCTCTGCATTATTTCCCTTTGCGTCATCGCTCCCAGATAATCCATTATCCGACAGTTTGTAAGCGGGGAGGATGGCAACAGCGCACACCGGAGGCGCTGTTGTATTTTGTTCAAGTGGATAGAACAGTTTCAATATATTCACATTACAAACTCTGGTTTTTCGCCGCCGAGCTAGAGTGCGAATCACATAGTTGTTATTGTCGAGTTTACGTTCAACACTGTAAGGACCAGCAAACTGCGTTAGTAAACTGGACACCACCACAGGCAATGACATGAACACTTTGGCCCCTGGTTGAAAACTTCTATCCACAGATTTTTTGTCAAATCGAGATTTCATTTTAGTTTGCACTTGCTTCAGGTTTTCCCCGGCTATTTGCCACGCTAGCCGATGTCTATCTTGAAGCTGACTCACGTAGTTAAGAACACTACACTGCTCGTCCGGGGTCTCCGCCACTTTTCCCTCAGAAGTCGGAGAGGGCCTCGGACCACATGTCCGAAAACAGCGGGACTGCTGTTTAGCCTCTCTAATGGCAAACAACAATAGGGGCAACCCCCATCCCACTCTTTACCAGACTCTAAACAGACTCTTACTTATGTAACATAACTTTGAGAGTTTGGTGGAACCTTTCCAAAGCACCTTGACTCTCGGGGTGATATGGGATAGATGTAACATGCTTGGCATGTAGTTCTTTAACAACCTGTGCAAAGACTTTAGACATAAAGTTGGTGCCTTGGTCTGTTTGAATGATTTTTGGCAACCCAAACATAGAAATAATTTGATCAAAGCCTTAATTACTGCTTTGGCTTTCACCGTACGGAACGGAATGGCCTCCAGAAATCTCGTTGCTGAGCACATTACAGTGAGAATATACTGATGACCGGCTTTTGTTTTCGGCAACGGTCCCACACAGTCTAGTATTACTTTTTCAAAAGGTTCACCCATTACTGGAATAGGAGATAATGGCACAGGCAGAATGGGCTTATTGGGTTTGCCCACCAACTTGCAGGTGGCACAAGACCAACAGTAATCAGCTACATGTTAAATCAGGCCAAAAGAAGTTGTGCAGCACTCGGTAATAAGTTTTATTTATTCCGAGATGCCCAGCCATGCCGGCGTCATGTGCTAAGCTTAGCACCTGATCACGATGCTGGGATGGTACCACCACCTGTGTAACACTCAATGTTTCATGCTGATCTGAGGACCGCCGCCTCATTAACACGCCATCCTGCAGGAAAAAATGAGGAAGGATGCTTTCCCCAGCAGTGACAGCGGCTGCAAAACAGGAACTCAAAGACTTGTCATTTTTCTGAGCGCTTACCAAAGCTTCTTTATTCACATCTCCGCCCAATTCCGGCATTAGATTTATCAAACTGCGTTTCTGTTTCATACGGTCTTTCTCCCCTACAAAAGGCTTTTGCTCCATAGCCACAAACGTATCTGCGATACTAACGACATCAGCAAATGTGTGCGCCCGCGTAACAGTGCAAACGGGAAACACTGTCGCTTTCAGATCAATAACATCTGAGGTGGTAGCAACAGGGGTATCCATCACTTCAGGCGGTGGAAAAACTTTCCCTCCAGCCTAATCATTGCCCAAAATAAACGACACACCTTTAAACGGCAACTGTTGTCTTACGGCGACATACCCGGTGGAGTGGTGCACAAAGAACACTCATTTCAATTCCCCACACCAACACATCTGTGTGGTAGGCGGTTTTATCCGACAGTGGCAACACATCATCTAACATAAAAGACTGATGTGCCCCGATGTCTCGGAGAATAGTGATAGGAACCCTGTCCTTCTCTTCTCCTGTCACCGAAACGAAGCCTTGGGAAAGGAATGTTTTAAAACGTGACTCTACCTCCATCTCTGGGTTACACCCCTGTGTTCGATCAGGACATATAGGTGGGGAAACTACTTTAATGAGCCCCACGGGTCCCTTAGACCCTCTGCGCTGCTCTTTCTTCCACAGCGCAGGACAACGGGCAATCAGGTGACCAGACTCATGGCAATAAAAACATTCCCGCCTTCAGTTTCCTCCTGTCTCGCCTTTCGGGCCTGTTTAGGAGTTTTTATTCCCTTTTCCTGCCTTCCCCTCACTTCTCGTGCTACCCCAGCTGGGAAAATGGTTTTATGTGTGAGGGGAAATTCGTCCGCTAAAACTGCTGCTTTCGCCAGGGACGTCACCTTCTGTTCATTTAAATAAACAACTAACTGATCAGGGAGACGCTTTTTAAATTATTCTCCAAGAAGCACTTCCTTTAATCCTTCAATATCCTTCACTTTGCTTGCTTGCATCCAGCGTTCAAAGAAGTGACGTTTCTCACGGGCAAATTCCACAAAAATTTGATCAGCGGTCTTTTCACTTTTACAAAATTTCTGACGGTAAGCCTCGTATGAACTATACGTGTGCAGAATGGATTTTTTCACAATATCATATTGGAGGCTGTCGTTAACGGAAAGGCTAGTACATACTTCTGGAGCCTTGCCGATTAACTTACACCGGAGTAGCAGCGCCCAAAACTCCTTAGGCCAATTCAATGTGGCTGCTATACGCTCAAAAGCGCTGAAATAAGAATCAACCTCAGCCTCCCGAAACGGAGGGACTAGTGTAACATGCTTGGTGATGTCAAAGCCTGTTGAAGTAACTGTGTCTGTTTGGGCAAAGTAATTATTAAATTGCATTTTTTATTTAATTGAAATGAAATAATTTCCCATGGCACACCTAACGATCTCTCACGGCACACCTATGTGCAGCGGCACAGTGGTTGGGAAACACTGGTTTATTGGTCTGAGTATGGAAGACTATTGATGTTTGTTTATGGTTAAGTGCGGGCAAGTGCTGGTTGTAAAACATTATTGTCTACTGGACTTAAGTTCTAATGGAGATTGACCATTTGATTGAACACTTTTTTGAAAGCAGTATCCTTTAAGCTTGTGTGTAGAGTGGTTAAAACAGATAACATAATTTAAGCATTTTAAAAATACACAAGTGAATATTGTACTACAAAGCTTATACAGTGCTATTGATGTGTTTGTAGTTGTGATAGAAATGAATGTTTTATTTTTATTTAATGAAATAAATGTTTAAATTAGGGCAGGATATTTTAATAAGGGTTTGACTGCTCACAATATTCACAGATGTGTGATAACAAACATGGTTTTGTATCTTTTGGTTTGTATTTAAAGGTTTTCCACCTGTTTTTTATGACTGTATTAATTGATCATTATTATTAGTAGTAGTAGTAGTAGTAGTAGTAGTAGTATCATTATAAACTTCTCGGTGAGGTACAGTGTCTACTGTAATTTTACAATAACACAGGTCTGCAAAAAATAAATAAATACATTTTTGCTGCATGGGATATTTTTGGTAAGTTTGATGTATTTTTAGGGTGCTGAATCCAAAAATGATCTCCATTTCCCTCCATCACCTACAGTTTTTTGCAAAACAAGCGGAGTTGACATTTAGAAAAAAAAAAAAAAAAAAAAAAAAAAAAAAAAAAAAGCACAAAAGCGATTAAAGAAAATCAATATTTGGTTACAATTAACTATGCATTTTTTTTCTTAGACTCCTTACCTTTCGCTATGGACACAATAAATCATTAAGTCATTATTGGATATGTTTTGTTTGGGGTTTTTTTTTTTTACTCAAGTATAGGATAACAGGTTTCAGTTTTAAAAAGGAAACTGTACGCTTAATTACACTAAAACATGAGTTTTGCAAGAACGAGATGGAATTTTTAAAATATTCTTCCTGGTTTCAGTGAGTAAAAATCTATAAGAAACAGTCAGAAAGTCCTATGCAGTTTTTCGGTTGCAGACCTGTGTAATCTTTCCCTTGAGTAGTCTAATATGGCTGACGCATCGCTAGGATAAAGGGCGGCAACATGACCTATATATTCAAAAAATTAAAAAATTAAAAAAACCATAAATCACATAAGTTAGAGTCGTAACACTTGTGTCTCTCTTTAAACGTTTACAGCTCAGTTTATGGTTTCTATGTCGGCGCGAAAAAGTGTATGCAAATGATTACCGTGTAACATTAAAGTCACATGTCCTAAACATATACGAAGTTTATAGTTTAGGACGATGTTCAGTTATGAAACACAGACTCGATGTAACGGCGGGAGTCTGAGCTCAAAACATCTTTAAAACAAGTCATAACATACCTGAGCAGCAACACAGAGCCTCACAGCTGAAGACACTTTCATTTAAAATAAACACTTCCTGTAGTTCCTCCTCAGCTGTGTAGGTCCTGCTGGTGTCCACACGATGGCGCCATTGTAGTAGCAGACAGATGACACAAACCACTTCTGTGGACTTTGAAAATGTTTTCAGTGAGAAACGGAAAACATTAAATTATTTCAATAAAATTAAAAAGCATTCTATAAATACACTAACAACAATAAATAGCGTGATATACACAAGGACCCAAATGTGAAGAATGTAGTCAAAAGCTTTACTTTTCACTGTGAGGTTTCACCAATACAAACATCGAGCAAATGGAAAACAAGTACCAACAAAATATCAAGGTTCACTTTGAAAGCAAACTCAGTAAAATAAATAAATAAATAAATAATAATAATAATAATAATAATAATAATAATCTGAAACTGTAATTTCTTTTAAATTTCCCACTTATGGACATTTCCTCAATAACTGCACTGATTTTTTCCCCCATGTTGATCTGACCTTTTCCTCCATAATAATCACAACAAACTGGACACTAGTCCAAGCAAAGAAAGATCAATAGATTTAGGACAGAATGAGGAAGGACTGCAGGAAAGTTAACAAGTACAAACAGCTGTTTTACATGAAAGACCTGCGGGGTGGCTGTAGCTCAGGTGGCAGAACAGGTCAGCCACTAATCAGAAGGTCGGTGGTTCGATCCCAGGCTGCATGCCAAATATCCTTGGGCAAGATACTAACCCCATGTTTGCCTACTGCTGGTGGTCAGAGGGCCCGGTGGCGCCTGTGTCCGACAGCCTCGCCTCTGTCAGTGCACCCCAGGGCAGCTGTGGCTACAATGTAGTTTGCTATCACCAGTGTGTGAATGGGTGAATGACTGACTGTAGTGTAAAGCGCTTTGGGGCCTTTAAGGACTAGAAAAGTGCTATACAAATGCAGGCCATTTACCAAAATGCCTAAGGAAACTTCTGCTTGGAGAGCAGATAAGATGTTGTTTTGTTCACAAAAGAAAAATGACACAGACAAACCACAAAGAGATCCAGAACATACAAACATTTATTGCAAGATACAAACCTGAGGTTTGCAGAATACTGAAATGCAGGTAGTGCCAGAGTTTCTAAGAGGGGTTTAAGACAAACATACACTGAGCAGTTGGGGATACAGGATAGATTTACTTAAATATGCTGAAGCTTCTTCCTTATGTGGCAGCACGAAGGAGGAAAACCAGTAAAGTTGACACCCACACTTTTTAGGTAGAAGGACTGACAATACAAAACAGTTAATTAAAATACTTTATCAACAAACATTAATTAAAAGGACAAGATTCACTGCCACCCTAGTTAAAATGGAACTCAGTAAAATAATTTAACAAAATGGTGGAGACTAACCACTTCGGGAGGCAACCTAAAGGAAGGAGTGCCCAAAGGTGCCACCAATTACTCACCCGTGTAATCTCTCTGCAATCCTCACTTCTTCTTCTTCTTCGTGTTTAACGGCAGTTGGCAACCAACGTAAAGGAGCATTACCGCCTCCTACTGTTCCGGAGTATGGGTCTGCAATCCTCACTGCCACTGTCACTGCAATTTAAATGGTGCGTTATACCCATTTCCCGGTGTGTACACTCACATGCAGTGGCGGTCCTAGCCTGTTTGGCGCCCTGGGCGAACACTCCCTCTGGCGCCCCCCCCCCCCCCCCATAAAAAGAATCAGAATCAGAATGGGGTTTATTGCCAAATGTTGAGCAGGTTTACAACATTAGGAAATTGCTGCGGTGCTTCAGTGCAAACATAGTGTCATAAATAGCACTTAAATAGACATGGAAAAAAATAAAAAAAATAAAAGTAGGGATAAGAATTAAAAGTGCTACGTGGAAAGATATATACATGAGTGCAGGTGGTGATCAGTGTCAAACATGGAATGATGCAGTGACACAGCGTAGGGTCATGTGTTAGTGGCGGGTACAGTCATATGGTTATTGTTCATGTGTCCAACAGCATTAACATAAAACTGTTGTCGAAATTCACCAGAGAAACACACACACATGAATTTAGGGAGAGTATGCATTGTATGCAAACGGCTACCAAACAGCCATCATAATTCGTCATACAATGAGAACAGGACAAAGCAACAATTTACCATTTCTTCTTGGAGCAACTGTAATCCACATTATTTCCTTAGGGATTAATAAAGTATTCTGACTCTGATAGTTTCACGATACATGACCTGCCATTATCCAATGACACATCTGCTTACCTGTATCTTTTGCTCGTTTCTCCTCTTCTTTTCTATTTTTTCTAAACTGAGCACCTGATGGCTTTGAACTTTTCTTGTCCATCTTACATTGGTTTTCATTTTGCACTCCAGTATGAACACAAATCCCCCAACTCGAGGATCGCCACAACATAACCTAATAGACCTACACCTTAGTTCACAGATTCACTTTGTCTAAGGTGTATTTCTGGGATTTCACACAACCCAGGATTCAAATCATGAATACATAATGGGCTTGGATTTACAACATTATGAACCCCTTTCCACGGGTTGTGTGTGAGACTTTAAATCATCAAACAGTAAATTATAAATTTTAAATTGTTATTGATCCCTTTGCCCCGAGTCCTAAAGTGTATATTTGTTTTCTTACTCTTCTTATTCTTATATTTATTGTTTGTTTACTTGCACTGCTGTAACTGGAGCCTCGTCGTCTCGTCTCTCTATATACTGGACTGTATGTAGCGGAGATGACAATAAAGTTTACTTTGACTTCAGCAGCAATAGGCGCACCGAGGGCTCTCGCGCTCACTTTTCGCGTATAGAATTTCTATAAAACATCGGTGCAGATTATGTCTGTATCATGATGTCTGGTGTTTTCGTGTTTGTTGTTTTGTTTTATTTTGCGAGTTGGTTATTAGATGCTGCTCCAGCCACCAGTGAATCCCCCGCCGCCCTGCCCTCTCCTCCCTGTGCCGCAAGCAGCAGGCACACCTCGCAAACGAAGGGCGCCCTTACTCCCAGCAAATGGGTGATAGAAAACCGATCGGTGCCTGTACCATTCCCAATATGTGCTGGCATGATGTCGGGGCAGCATGAGTACGAGCAATTTTTTTTTTTTTGCCGATGCCCGTGATGCCGCCCCGGGCAACCGCCCGTGTCGCCCGTATCAAAAACTGCTACTGCTCACATGCATCAGAGGGAATTCCACCACATATCCCTAGCCTCCACAACAAGCAGCCATGCCTCCACTAAAGCTAAATCAAAAAATAAAAACAGAACAAAAAACAACAACTATATATTGTGACATATAAAACACAAAACAACTCAGTAAACGAGATATAAAAGAAACAAGAACGAATTCAAACACCCTAAAATGCAACTCCTTTAAAAGCATGATTAAAATATAACAAACTGTTAACACTAAAGCACTATAGAACAAGGAACCAGCCAATGCCAGTAGTAAATGACAGCAAAGCTACAACAAGACAGCAGCAGTGTTTAGGCCACCCTTTAATGGTTATACAGATTAAGCAGTTGCCAGGAGAAATGAATCCAGTCTGCAATACTTAACAACAACCTGTAATCTTTGCCACCTTGAACAGGAATGAGTGCAAGTTGCCAGAGCTCAAGAGTAGATGACAGCTGTTCCTGATAACCAACCTCTGATTAACAGCTAAGGGAAGGGTGAATGTTCATGCTAGTGTTTTCAGTGGCAGAAGTGCAGTTTTGGGTCTCTTTGAAGAACGAAACATTGTTATAAGGTCTGCGATAATGTTTTACACTGAGGAGAGACACTACTCTCTACAGACTGACCCAGTGGACAAGTTAAGCATAACAAATAAGAAAACTACAGTAGTTATAGCAGTTGCTTGAAGGTCACTGGACATTAATATTAACATGCATTTAATAAAATCAGCACGGTTGATCATCCATATCACTGATATAATAAAACAGAAACTGATGCAACAACGCAAGTTTATTCAGGTTGCAGGAATCAATCAACATCTTCCTGCTTCGATATGTACGACAATGCTGATCATAAATACAGCCATAAAACTGTGTCATAAAAAACTGTGTCTTAGCTTTAGAGCAATGCAGCGTTAGTTATTAGTGTTTATTCTCCTTTAGGAAATTCATTTTTTGCTTCTATGAAATATCAGATAAATATCATCACATCACACACACACACACACACACACACACACACACACACACACACACACACACACGTTCATTTAAGTCATTAATTATGAATAAAATCTGGATAAACCCCGGCTGGTCTCTACACTTTTGTTCACTGAAAAATGATGTGTGAATGTCTCTGAAGAGTTTGTAAATTCATCTTCTGGGTTTGTGTAGCTCAGTGATTCCTCCCTGATATCACAGTTTGTCTCATGTACAGCAAACTAACTGCGAACAGCAAACTAAAGCATCTCAGGTGAGTTAAGTTTAGAGAAACACAGCATACTTCACTATAAAGCTGTGAGTGGAGGAGGAGGACAGAAAAACAACATGTGGATGCTGGAATAATTGTAGCTTTCATCGTTAAAGGACTAAGGAGACAAAGTTTACAAGGAAAGTGACAGACACGTACAGACTGCATTATCTGTTCAACAGTTTCTGTTTGCCTGGAAAATCTCTGATTCTACAGATTTACACAAACACAATGAAGAAACAGGCCTGAACGCAAACCCAGCATAAAGAGGTTCAGTGAATGTGGTGTTGAAGGTGTGGAGGTGGATCAGAGTGTCAGAGGAGACTCTGTAGAAGGACAGAGTGCCAGCAGGACAGTCCACATACACTCCTACTCTGTTAGAGACAGAGGAGGAGGATGAAGAAAAACATGTCTTTTGGTTATTGTGCCAGACAAAATAACGATTTTCAGAGCAGCTCAGACTCCAGGACTGATCATTTCCACCAAACAAACAACTAATACTGTCTCCTTTCCTTCTGATTCCTCCGTAACTCACTGAAATGTCAACCCTGCCTCTCCACTCGACCTCCCAGTAGCAGCGACCAGTCAGACCATCTCTGCACAGCAGCTGAGGACGGTCATCAAATCTGTCTGGATGATCAGGATATGACTGAACCTCCTCCACATGTGTCACCGTCCTGTTGTTGTCAGACAGTTTGAGGTTTGTGTGTACTGTGTTTGTGTCGATTGTGAGTTGACAGGAATCTGATGGAGAGAACAAACACAATCCAGCTGCAGTTATTGATCCATCATCTGTTCATTGATTGACACTTTGATGGTGAGTCCTGACATCAGAGATGTGAATGAGTGATGTGACAGTTTGAAGATGGTTGAATGTGTGCTGCTTTATTTTCATGAATCACATTAAAAACACACTTACACTTCCTCAGACCTGGTCTCAACCATTGGACTCCAGCAGGCTCCACCCTGAGAGAAGGAGGGGGGTCAGACCAGCACAGTCTCTTTCAGCATAAATAATATGTAAACCAATATGTTGTGTGTGTTAAATAATTTACTAATGGGAAATCATGAAACAGTAAGTTAGGCACAGAATTAATGTCCCAGGTGTTCTTCTGAGAAATCCCCTGCATGTAAAACTGGTCCTATATGTGTGATTGTTCATATAAAGTTCATATTCTGGCTTAAATAAAAGGAGAAAAAACTACCAGCACCTAGTGAAGGACAAAGAAAAAATTTCCACTCCTTTTTCCTCTATCAACATTGTACATGGCTGCAGCCAGTCACTCCATACCTGAGAGTCTCCAGAGTCAGCTGCTTCAGGAGATTCACTCCTGTCTCTCCAGGATGATTGTAGCTCAGGTCCAGCACTCTCAGATGAGTAGTGTTGGCGGTTACAGCTGATGTAAGGGAATCACAGCCTTTCTCTGTAACCAGACAGCCTGACAGACTGTGAGACACACAAAACACCACAAGTGGGGAAGAATTTATAAAAACTGGGACTTGGTCCACATTTTAATTAATGACTCAAACATAAATAACTAAAAAAAAATTAACAAGAGAGGAGACAGTATGGTTCCCTCAGATTTTGGCAGTGGAAATTGAATTTTGATACTTGGAAAAACACTGATTTCGTGAGTTTTAGACACAAATATAGTTAATGCCACCTCTATATTCAGTTTACAGTGTTGGGAAGGTTACTTTTAAAATATATTCCAATACAGATTACAGAATACATGCCCCAAAATGTATTTTGTAACGTATTCCGTTACATTACTCAATGACAGTAATGTATTCTGAATAATTTGGATTACTTAATATATTATCATGCTTTATCATGCTGCAGGTAAGGCTGCACTTTTTGCAGTGATCTCATATGGAAAACTATTCTGCACGTATATAAAACAGGTCCGCGGCTCCAAACCGTAGTAAAGGGACCTCTGGCTCATACGTCGGGTCCGTGTCGGGCTCGTAGCTGAAAACTAGCTTTACTTTGTTGTCTGGGTCAACGTTGCTAGTGAGACAGACAGAGGCGTTGAAAGGCTGCTCCAACGGAACTTATTGCTTCGGAGGAAAACACGAACACAGTGTACAGTCGAGTCTTAATAGCTTAATTACAACTGGGCTCGGTATGGCAGTCCATTCTCCCTGCAGCATGGACTGCACTGCCCATAGGGCTACATTCTTTAGGGCTATGCCTGTAACACTCTGCCTATTGCCTTCACATTAAATAATCTTTTGAGTAATCATTTTTAAAAATATTTCTTCACGTCATTATGCGGGCCACAAGTAGGGGTGACATGGACTGCGAGATTGAGACACAGGCATTAGAGCCTCTTAATGCGTGTTTTGTTGGCGTTTCCACCGGCATGGAATTACCAGAAATAGAGAGGGCATAGCCTAACATATGAAACAGGAAAATACCGCCATGTAATCCATTTATTTCAGTAACTGTATTCTGAATACCACCTTTTAAACGTTAACTGTAATGGAATACAGTTACTCATATTTTGTATTTTAAATACATAACGCCGGTATTCCCCAATACTGACAGTTTAGAACCAAACTTTTCAGTAAGTGATGGAAGGATATGTTTAATATTTATTTTTCCAGTCAAATGGAAAGCTTGAACAGATAGACACGCAAATGGAATTTAGCCCTATAATAAATGTTGACTCACATTCTTACTTGCTGATTAACAGATCTCAAATATGTGATCATTTGTATTTAAAACCCTTTCAAATGTTCATAAGGACTGGTTTTCATTAGTAAGTCTAAGCTACATTTTCTATTTCTGAAGTGTCACTAACAATGCCCATGCACAGCTAAATAGTATTATTGTGTACTGGATACTAATTGCAGCATATGGCCTTCAGGGTACCCGTTCACTTTTGCAAGCACATCATAGAACACATAAACACCGATGGTTGAGTAAAGTGAATATGAAATCCAAACAATTAAAACAATGTAATTTTGAGTTCATGAGTTTAACAGTGTGATGAACCCTGACCTTAGAGCTTCCAGTTTGCAGTGTGGACTCTGCAGTCCAGCTGACAGGAGTGTCACTCCTGAATCCTGCAGGTCGTTGTTACTCAAATCCAGGTCTCTCACACTGGAGAACTGGAAGCTAAGAACTGAGGACAGACTTTCACAGCTTCTTTCTGAGAGGTTACAGCCGTTCATCCTGAAAAGATATTGTACAAAATTTTTGATGGAGACGAGTCTGCTTACAGAGCAGAGGTGAGAGCCCTGACATCATAGTATTGTACAACAACCTGCTGCTCAATGTATGCAAGTCCTCGGAGCTCATTGTGGACTACAGGAAAGTGCAGGGTGGAGGACACATACCCATTTTCATTGAGGGGAGAGTGTCAGATGCTTCAGGTTCCTGGGCATCAGCATCATTGAAGATCTGATCTGGTCATCACGTGGATGTGATCACAAAAGCAGCAAAAGTGTGCTGAGGAGGTTTGGCATGGACCCTTGAAAACTCCCCAACTTTTATGGATGCACCATCGAGAGTATTCTGTCTGGCTCTATCATGATTTGGTATGGCAGTTGTAATGGCTCTGGACCACAAAGCTCTATGGCTCTATTATTGTACGATCTACTGTACAATATAAAGCGCCTTGACAACGACCGTTGTTGTGATTTGGCGCTATATAAATGAAATTGAAAAGATGAAAAAAGAAAAGTATGAAAGGTGATCAGATCAGATCATATCACTGGGTCTGAACTGCCAGCCATCCAGGATCTGTTCAGATAGGGTTGTAAGAAGAAGGTCCACCAGATCCTCCCTGATTCCAGCCACCCCACCCATACACTCTTTATGGTCCTGCCATCAGGTATGAAGTATATAAGCATCTACAACCACACCAATAGATTCAGGTACAGTTTCTACCTGAACTTCAGAAATATAGGACAGTTTATTTTGCACAATCATTGTACACACTGTAACAGCAGTCTGGCAAGGAAGTAGCGGCTAGCAGGTCCAGCAGGCATGTGGTGTGGAGGTTAGCCGAAGCCAGTCAGTTAAATCAAACAAGAGACCTTTATTCGTTGTCAGCAACATAAGTTGCTGCTGCATAAATACCTGTGCTTCTTGTCTTTAATTACTTTGTCACTGATCTGTACTTGTTGTAACTTAAAGAGATTTATGAATCGGAAACTTTAGACAAATATCTAAAAAACATATAAACCAAACTGTGAGTTGCTCTGACCTGAGAGTTTCAAGTGTGCAGTGTTGACTCTTCAATCCAACTGATAACAGCTGTACTCCTGAATGTTGTAGGTCATTGTTGCCTAGTTCCAGCTGTTTCAGTCTAGAGGACTGAGAGCTGAGAACTGTAGACAGAGCTTCACAGCTTCTTTCTGAAAGGAAACACTCACTCAATCTGAAAAGACATAAAGATGAAGGCAAGTTTTTTCCCCCCATCACTGAACCAGAGCAATGTATTCAAATAATGTTAACTTGACAATAACTTACAGAGCTTTCTTGGAGGCTTTGACCACTGGCAGCAGTCTCAGTAGAGCCTCTTCTGAAACACAGTACTTCTTCAGATCAAACACATCTAGATCTTCTTCTGCTGACAGCAAGATGAAGACCAGAGCTGACCACTGAGCAGGAGACAGTTTATCTGTGAAGAGACGTCCTGATCTCAAGTACTGTTGGATCTCTTTTACTAGAGAACGATCATTCAGTTCATTCAGACAATGGAGCAGGTTGATGTTTTTCTCTGCAGATAGATTCTCATTGATCTTCTTCTTGATGTACTGGATGGTTTCCTGATTGGTCTGTGAGCTACTTCCTGTTTGGTTTAACAGACCTCGTAGGAGACTCTGATTGGTCTCCAGTGACAGACCAAGAAGGAAACGAAGGAACAAGTCCAGATGTCCATTTGGACTTTGTAAGGCCTTGTCCACAGCACTCTGGTAAAGGTGTGTACCTGTTTGTTGTTCTTCCAGCAGATTGACTCCAGAGTTAATGAAAGTCAGATGGACATGAAGAGCAGCCAGAAACTCTTGAATGCTAAGATGGACAAAGCAGAACACCCTGTCCTGGTACAGTCCTCTCTCCTCTATAAAGATCTGTGTGAACACTCCTGAGTACACTGAGGCTGCTCTGATATTGATGCCACACTCTGTCAGGTCTGATTCATAGAAGATCAGGTTTCCCTTCTGCAGCTGATCAAAAGCCAGTTTTCCCAGAGACTCAATAATCTTTGTATTTTCCAAACTCCAGTGTGGATCTGTCTCAACTCCATCATCGTACTTGACCTTCTTCACTTTGGCCTGAACCACCAGAAAGTGGATGTACATCTCAGTCAGGGTCTCAGGCAGTTCCCCTTCCTCTCTGGTTTTCAGCATATCCTCCAGAACTGTAGCAGTGATCCAGCAGAAGACTGGGATGTGGCACATGATGTGGAGGCTTCGTGATGTCTTGATGTGGGAGATGATCCTGCAGGCCTGTTCCTCATCTCTGAATCTCTTCCTAAAGTACTCGTCCTTCTGTGATCTAGTGAAACCTCTGACCTCTGTCACCATATCTACATATTTAGGAGGGATCTGACTGGCTGCTGCAGGTCGTGTGGTTATCCAGAGGTGAGCAGAGGGAAGTAGTTTACCCCTGATAAGGTTTATTAACAGCACATCCACTGAGGTGGACTTTCTAGGATCAGTTAGGACTTTAGTTCTGCGGAAGTCCAGAGGAAGTCGACACTCATCCAGACCATCAAAGATGAACAGAACTTTAAACTCTTCAAAGCTGGAGATTCCTGCTTCTTTGGTTTCAGTAAAGAAGTGATGAATAAGTTCCACCAGGCTGAACTTTTCCTTTTTCAGAACATTCAGCTCTCTGAAACTGAATGGAAATATAAACTGAATGTCCTCATTGGCTTTGTCTTCAGCCCAGTCCAGAATTAACTTTTGTGTTAGGACAGTTTTCCCAATGCCAGCCACTCCCTTTATCAGCACTGTTCTAATTGGTTCATCTCTTCCAAGTGAGGCTTTAAAGATGTCTTCTTGTCTGATTGTTGTTTCTGGTCTGTCTGGTTTCCTGGATGTTGTTTCAATCTGTCTGATCTCATGTTCATCATTGACCTCTGCAGTCCCTCCCTTCGTGATGTAGAGCTCTGTGTAGATCTGATTCAGAAGGGTTGGGTTTCCTGCTTTAGCGATCCCCTCAAACACACACTGGAACTTCTTCTTCAGGGTAGATTTAAGATCGTGGCAAACAACACCATGTGTTCCTAAATGAAAACAAAACCGATGAAAGAAATTCATTAATAAAAATATTTTATATGTATGTATGTATGTATGTATGTATGTATGTATATATGTATGTATATATATATATATATATATATATATATATATATATATATATATATATGTATATATATATATATATATATGTATATATATATATATATATATATATATATATATATATATATATATATATATATATATATAATTCACTCGCAGTGTGGTTGCTTCAATAAAATGAAGATATTGGTAAATGTCCCATTTAACCAGTGGTTTAAATTCTACGAGAAATCCTCTTACTACTCTGCAGACGGTCAGCCAGCTCCTCCTGGTCCATTTTCCTCAGGAAGTCCAGTATGATTTTCAGAAAAGCCTCTTTGCTGCTCCTCCTCTTCTCTTCATCCCTACCTTCCAACACCTCCTCATCCTCCTTTTGCCTCTTCAAGCATTCGCGATAATCCGGACTGAGAACCTTCTGGATCTTCTTCAACTCATTCTTCACAAAAGTGATGACGTTACCCTCCAGCTCCTAGAATAGAATATTGTTTGAATGACCAAATCAAACTGAAGTAATGCAGTGTCTGTGTTGGAACTGACTGACAATCTGCTAGTTTACAAACTGTAGCATGGAGATGACAGTGAGGAGAATGGGTGTGTTTGTTCATCTGTACAGCACTTGGTCCATTGTAGTTGTTTTATACCTTTTTAGTCTATTCTATGTGATAGTTCATGCTGACAATGTGATGGTGTATAGTCCAGCGTAGGAATTGCAATGGACAGGTGATCAGATTGGCAAAGATTGGCGAATCGTTTATGTGGATTATAGCGTGTGTGGGTTTATTTTTTTTATTACATGCGCATTTTACATGATTTCTGCAAAACCCCTAATGGAAAGATACCATGGCCTGGGACATGTTAAATGCATGCTTTATAAATAAAAATGGCACAGTATTGTTTGGTATGTATATAAAAGTAGTTGGTTCACATGTACAGACCATAAATATGGTGTCCATATGCATTTGATGCTGCTGCACAGACTGACCACTTTGAGACTCAGAGGTCCCCTTGTCCACTCTGTGGAGGAATCATAAAAAAATTGTTCAGATTATTTCTGTCCACATAGGTCTATAAAGTGATGTTTGTATTTGAACAGAGATTCAATTCAGATACATGAAACTAACACTAACAAGCCTCAAAGAAGTGAAGCAACATTAAAGAAGACTGGGCCATAATTCATCCACTCTGATGTAAGTAACTGATAAAGTCATACAGAAGAGATTGACTTTGACTCATTGCTGCTAAAGATGTTTCTATAAACTACTGATTTGCACAGGAGTGCAAATAGTCATGTGAAAAACTTTCTTTTTCATTTTCTTATGACACGTTACAGTCCTGTAGATAAAATTTACTCTGTGATGTGGAGAAAACTCCATCCTTCAGAGAAGGGTTATACATGTTACTCATCTCTACACTCAGTCTTCTTTATGGTAGACTGTTTAAGTACACAACAGACATAAATGGGAAGACTGCAAGATAGAGACAAGTGAGAAGCGATAATAACCTGTCTGATCACAGTATAATTTGCCTTCATTTTTATCAAAATGGGAGGACTGTAAATACTCTGTGGAAAAGAAATGTAGGTATGTTCAACAATCAGAGATTCAGAGAAATTAAAAAGGAGAACAAATGATTCATAGCAGAAAACATAGAGAGTACAATAGTTCCACCATTTTGTGACGCAGAGTTAAAACTGTTATGAGAGGGAAGTTAATTTTAAGGGAAGCTTTTGAAAATGAAAAGGAAGCAAACACAGAAAAATGGATGATTTGAATGGATGGATTTTTGTACAGAAGCAAACAAAGAATTGGAAACAATTTTACAGAAAACAACTATTTTATCAAAATGAAGCTAATATGGTCTATATAAAGACGAGTGAAGGGAAAGAATTTTGGGCTATAAGGAATAACTAGAAGTAAGAAATATAGAGGTTGGCTGCATTTCTTGCTGAGATACATCTTTGAATGCTGAACATAAAAAGGACTTCTGGAAATATGAGTGCTCTCTACCAGTGTTAGGCTGGGATTGCAACAGTATGTGTGCTATTTTTATGTAAATGATTTAAATGATTTCCAATATGTTGCTGTTTCTAGACTTTTAATGGAACAACACAAAGCATCTCCCTTGGCTTCTGGCATGTTGCATCTCATTTTTATGTTTAAATCACCGTGTATCTATTATAAAATGATCAATCCATACTGGCAAAAAAATAAAATAAATAGAAATACCTGTTATTTCTCGATATAGACAGATTGACATGAGCTCCTGACTTACAGGTACAGTTTTAAAAATCAAATTAATGCTGGTAACATCATGTAGCAACATCCAGGACTGTCTTTCATTTTTCAATGCAACAATCCAAAATCATCCATAAACCTCTATAAAGATGAACTTCCCTGCTTCTCATGTGGTGTCATGCTCACCAAGCTTTTTAGCATCTTCCAGTCATCAACTGCTAGACCAATTGGAGTCTTATAGCCACTTTACTTCAGAAACACCCCCTACAGCATTTATTCTTTAAACTCTGACTGCTGTGTTTGTCAAGGGTGAAAACAATAGACACTGTTGAAACAAATCAGATTACCTCTTTACAGCAGAAGGCCGTGCTTTAAAAGTTTCTCCAATGCCCTTGGACTGGTTGCTCTTTAAGGACACGCAGCTGAGTTCAGGTCCAGGAAAGTCTTTTCTCCGAGGGATCCTGACAGAAAAAGAAATAGAACAACTTTAGAAGTAACTGATATCAACCTACTTGGATTTAGAGACATGCTGTCTTTAAACTTGTTGTTGTTCTTTAATCCTATATAATTCAACCATGCTGTGTTGATGGAGGATATTATAAGACATTTTCATGTTGGTCACAGTATTCTACATTTGTCATTGTTATGTTGCAAACCAAGTTATGGTTTATAGTGATAGTTAATAGCTGCTGCCAACTTGATGTCAAGTGTCCAAGCTGAGATGGTAGACATCTTGTAGTTAGGTCTGTAAGCTTTTGTACATTGACAATTTTTTCATAATGTAGCTTCTATATACATTTAAAATAGATTTTACATCTAACAATAAAGATGTGATTGAAATGCAGACTTTCTGCTTTAAACTAAAAGGTTTAACTAAAGTATTGTGTTAACTGTTTAGGAATTAAAGACATTTTTCTATCTAGTTCCCCATTTTTACTATAAATATAAGAATTTTTTTAATAAGTCTACAACACATGGAGATTATCTGCTGCAAGAGCAGAGTCCTACAGATACTCTTCCCTACATAAATGGCTCCCATCATGTCGATTCTTTACACTTAGTGGGGAAAAGAGCTTCAAACACAGTTACAGCTTTAGGTACAGAATACCTCTCTATCTCAGAAAGTTCCGCTTTAAAGGTTTCTCCAATGCCCTTTGACTGGTTGCTCTTCAAGGACACACAGCTGGGTTCAGGTTCAGGAAATCCTGGACTCTGAGTGATCCTGACAGCAACAAAAAAAAAATGAACACATATTTGCAGCACTTTAACTACATTATCCCTGTGTTAATAACAACTGTTCTAAAAGTAACTAATATCAGCATACTTAGATTCAGAGGTGCACTGTCTTTTAACATCGTCATTTGTTGACATCTCACTTTTGGCAGACTCACAGCTGGATCCAGTTTCAGGTTTGCGTTTGATTCTGTGTTTTTTTCTGTGAATAATGATGAAGCAGTGATGTTAGTGCTGAGCTGTCACATGGAGAAGAGTCATGGACAGTTAGAGATGGTCATCTCACCTCTGAGCTTTGGTCTGGCTCTCATGTTTCCCACACAGAGTGGTTTTAGAGGGAGGGACTCCCTCCTCTCTGTCCTCCATATTCCTGACATACGGAGTAGAAAGAGGACATTTAGAAATATTTACTGAAAAATCTCTTTGTCTGACTATTTGTTAATGACACTTAATTCTAAAATAATGGACAACACAGCACTGTGGATTGTTTTTCTTTGTAGATGTCTATCTAAAAATGCTGTAACTAATGTTAAAGAAATAATTCCACCATTATTTCCTTCAGTGCCATCTCTAAACACAATGCAGAGCAACTAATAGACGTCAATTATCTTGTTAATATTGTCAAAACCTCACTGTATATGACTCTTGATGCTCTTGTTCCTCTGACAAAGAAAGCAGCTAATTGGAGAGGTTTGACTCCCTGATGTAATTCATAATAAGTTTTACCCTGAAGCAGATAACTCATAAACTAGAGAGAAAGTGGTGTTCTGCTTGTTTAGCAGACCTTTGCCTGACCTGTCTGACCTGTCAGTGTGTGTTTCTTTATAATCTCCATCTTTGCTCATAGAGGATCACCATATTGTTTGGTGTTTCACTGTATAATTTTGGGGTCTTTTAAGTCACATCTACATCACTTCCTACCTTCACCTGCAGATGAAACACAAATCATTCATGTGCACATCAAAAGAAATCCTCCTTTCCGTCATGTTTGTTGTCCAAATATCAGCTGCTTCTTTTCTGCTTCATCTCAGCAGCTATTTTTATAGAGCTAGCTCACAAAATCAGTATCTCAATGTCAGGTTAAGGTGCTGACAACATTAGACAGAGAGCCCCAATGATCAAATAAGCAGCACTTGGTGGCTTCACTTTTAACATGAAGAAAGTTCCCTCACGGAGGAAGTTTGATAAGATAAGTTTTGAATTCTAGAATTAGTTTAGAAAATTGTTCATACATCTATTTTCTACTGCTTATCCAATTAAGTGTTATGATCTGGCAAAAGCCTATCCCAGCAGCTATAGTTTAAGAGGCACCTTAGAGTCACCAAGTAACCTAACATGCATGTTTTTGGACTGTGGGAGGAACATGAAACTTCACACAGAAAGTCTGGCAGGATCAAACCCTGGACCTTCTTATTGGGAGACAATGTCATGAACCAGCACAGCATCATGCTATCCTAATAAAATTGCATATATGTGGTTGATATTCTTGTTTGAATTTTATGTTTTTTTTAAATGCAAGTAATGCATGTAAACCCTAACATTATTTGCTGGAGGCACACGGATCTGTTAGAGATTATTAGTGATATGCACCAGTGAATGCAGCCTAATCCTGGTTCGGACAAACAGGAGGTGAAGTTGTGTTTATTGCCTCCAGCTGTTTGAGTTGATCAGATCCCTTCGTATATCACAGTCCACTTTTCTTTAACAAAGAGACACAGAGTCAAAGCTTTGGGTATGATTACATGCAAATCTTTTTCATTTTAAATCAATAAACTAATAAAAATGATGTTGTCAGCAACACAGGCATGAGATTTAAGGTTTATTGACATTCTTTCTCTTGTCTGAAATGGCATTGCTTCACTATTTAAAGTGCCAGGTTCACCACTACGTTGTCCTCTTGCATTATGGTACGTTTGAATTTTGCAGTTCCTCTATTCTGGACATTATGGTACAAGCATACAAGCAGGAATCCATGTCATGGGCTGTATCCCAATTCAGGGTCTGCAGCCTTAAAGTAAGCAGCCTTAACGGTCCACAAGGGCGGCGTACTCAAAGATCGCTAAGGCCGGAAGTGCGAGGCTTGTGAAATCGGACGGTCTAGCCTCCGTCGTGCTGCCCAGGTTGCCTAGCAACCATGATATAAAAAGCTTTTCCTCCACAGCAGGAAAAAAAACAACAACAATGACTTTTGCTCCACGGGAGAAAAAGCTGCCCTTCAGTAATCAATAGTGGATCCACACTAACAACGATTCAGAGATCAGCTGCTGACCGTCAGCTTATCTTTGCTGAGCTGGTCACACACATACACAAACATTAAATGGCCAGCTTTCCCAGCCCCTGCTTCCCAGTTCCAGCTGGAGCCGCTCCATAGTTCCAACTAAACGGAGCGGCAAATTTGTGCTGTTTGTGGTGGAACTAACCTGTACACAGCTGATGTTAGCAAGGAAAACATTACAGAGTGCTTCACTTACCTTTCACGGAGCTTCCCACAGGAGACGATCACCTGCGCCACACAGTTCATGAAAGTGAAAGTAAAAAAAAGATGGGCGTAAACACCCAGCCCAACACATGACACAGACAATAAAAGATACAATGTGTTTTCGTGTGCGTTATTATTTAAGGTGGAACTTCAATTTAAATCCACAGACCAAAAATTCAAATACACAAAGATAACTTTTCATAAGTTAGTGGGTTAAAGGGTTAATCTATGAAAAATAAGAAGCAGTGCGAGAGCACAAACCTCCACCAGGCAGCTGTCTCTCTGGGCAGTATTTGCTTTTAAGGGTATTGTAATTTATTTTGTATATGTCAATTTTGTTTTCTTTGTTCTTTTTAAATGCCCTTTAAGAAGTTTCAAAAGATTTATCAAAGGTTGACCAGACATTACACCGTTAATAAAATGTCAGAGGTCCAAAGTAATGTGGTATTTAGAATCCCCATTTATATATTATCCCTTATATTCCTATATGTTGTCCATAGGAACACTGGCGGCAAGAGACAGTTTTAAATGGCTCTATATGGCATTATTATCACTCTGACTTTCAGATCAATATATTGAACTTGAAAGCAAATGTGACGTGTTATAGTAAATATGTACTTTCTATAAATGAATACCACACTTGTATAAATCACTCAATGACAGAAAAACATCAAACAGAAGGCTGTTAAGATCTGGTCTGTATTCTGAACAGAGAATACAGACTCTATATTCAGACTCTAACGCAGTCTTTAATCTCAGTTATAAAAATCCAGAATGTGTTTCTGAGAAAGATTAGATTCACCAAAAGGCAACTGCTTCTCTTTTCAGGAAGTTCAAACAGTAACAAGTTTTTAATGTGAACATGTTTGTACCGCTAAATCAACACCCGCCCAGCATTTTCTAGATGGTTTTAACATGGCTAAAGAGTTTAAAAACTTTTTTTGGACTTCTCTTATGATACACTCACATAGAGAGAACAAGACCAAACGTGTGCAAAAATCTAAGGTGCTGGTGTGCTTGTGGTGGTCGCAAGCACAGATGCCAATCAACAGACTTTTTTCTTATTGTAATTAAGAGTTTGTCAGCATATTTGAGAGGTGGCATTAATCCAATAATGTAGTGTTTAATCTTTTATTAATCTCTATGTTATGTCATGTTCACAGAAACTAAATTTAAAGCATGAAAGTTGTGATCATGAACTTTACCCAAAGAGGGCAGTGTTAGCTCTCCTTCACCCAGGCAACTTGAAGAGTAACAGTTATACCTGAAGCCATCATATTAAACACACATGACTGGAATTTCCTGATATATTTATTTGTGAAGCATAATGTGCATTATTTTTTATAAAAATGGGTCCATAAATTGTAATTAAACTTCGACCTCTGACCTCTGGCCTTATAAATATATCAGTTGATCAATTGATCATAGATCCCTGACTGTGTGCAGTTTTATTTGCTGACAACTGTTGAAGCACCATCAGAGACCGCCCTGTCCTGTCTTCCACTTGCATTGTTTGAGCTCCGAGGCTGAAAACAGATCTCTGATTGAGGAAAGAAGTCCTCCACCTCAAAGGAGTGCTCTGTGGCAGAGGTGCGATCTGGTGTCCTTTTGTTCTGGCCTGAGATCACAGACTAACTCCTGCCTGACTCAATGTGAAGCCACAGACTCTGGGTGTGTCAAACCACTGACACATGTGGTATAAGGTGTCCTTTAAAACAGTAAATCACAGGACTGTGTGTCAGGACAGAGCTGACTACTGGAGCTTTGATTCTGAGCCTAATTTTATTTTCAGAAGCTGGTGGTGAGATTCAGGTACCAACAGCCTCTTGTTCAGGTTTGTACATCAGTATCAGACATTTTTTCAGCTTCTCCATGCAGGTCATATATGAAGAAATCTGCAATTATATCATGAAGTTTTCATCATTCAGAGAATCCACAGAATGAAGTCGGTTTGGCTCCCGAGCCTCTGGTATATAATCTGCTGATGGCCGTTTAAGCTTCTGCGCTTCAGGTGAAGTTTTCATGGTGGTGACTGTCCTCTAGTGGTCACCATTAGTAACTACAGTAGGTGTGGCACACTGATGGTTAACACGCGCTGAAAATATTACTTAGAAAATAACGACTATAGTTTAACCAGTGCACTAAACTAACTCTGTTTGAAGTAGTTCAAACCACATGAAACGCTAATAGCTATAGTGGACTTGGTTGTACTTGAACTTCAGTCGTTCGGCTGAGGTAGACTGGTGGGCGGGGCGATCTCCTGTATCAGGCCAGCCTCTGTTTATTTCCTGGTTAGTTAAACTGGCTTTTGTCATGTTTACGTGGATACTTATACTTTGGTAAGTGTTTGTTTGTGGTTTATTCTTTGCTTTTGTTTGCAAAGTTGCTCGTTTGTTTGTAAGAGCGGATTGTAGAGTGTTTATTTTATGTGATTATCAGAGCCCAGCGTGCGGACTGGTTAAGTATGATGGAGAGATCTGTGAAAGCACGCGCGCTGATAGAAGTGTAGCTTTAACAAGGGAACCTTTTAAAATCGTATCTTGAGGCCAAACCATTAAACTTGTAAAGCGGTTTCTATCAGAAAGTGAATCTGGTGACAAGGAAATTTGGATAATGACTCAAAATAACGTCCCGGAATGAACAAATGCCTGGAGCGAGTAAATATCTGCTCGGTGAAAAAAAAACAAACCCTGTCAGCTGTTTGGATGCAGTGTGTTTTTATTCAGGGCATAAAGATACAGTGGTGTCAAACATGCGGCCTCGGGGCCAGAAACAGCCCACTTTTGGACGACTTTGCACATTTCAAAGTTTAAGACAGTTTAACACAGGCAGGGAAACTGTGC